CTGCTCCAAGCGCCATCCAACCCAGCCTTGGACACTTCCAGGGAGGCAGGAGCAGCCACAGCTTCTCTGGGCTCCCAGGGAACAGTTTCTTCCCAACACCCCATCCATCCCTGCCCTCTGCCAGGGGGAGCATTCCCGTGTCCTGGCACTCACTGCTCCGCACTTTGCCCTCGGAGGCATCCAGCTGACACAGGTAATGTTACACCTTCTTACAGCCCCAGGAAAACCCCAGAGCAGCGTTTGCAGCCTCTCCCGGGCATCTCGATTTCACCAGGAACACGAGGCTCCTGCCTGAGCACGGCAGATAAGCACATTCCTGGGGAGTGCTCTGGGGGCAGAGCCCGGTGCTCCCTCCCGGCCCTGCTGCAGAGCTCCAGCACTGGGGGAAGGCAGCCAGGAGAGCTGGAGACACAGGACAGGGAGCTGGAGACACAGGACAGAGCTGGAGACACAGGACAGAGAGCTGGAGACACAGGACAGAGCTGGAGACACAGGACAGGGAGCTGGAGACACAGGACAGAGCTGGAGACAGGACAGAGCTGGAGACACAGGACAGGGAGCTGGAGACACAGGACAGAGCTGGAGACACAGGACAGAGCTGGAGACACAGGACAGAGCTGGGGGTGCCTGGCAATTAAACACCTCTGGGAGCACCCAGGGAAGGTACAGCTTCCAGAGGAACAGCTGACAGGAACTGGGATGAGCCAGACCCTTCTCCCCCACAGCCCAGCAGGCTCTGCTAGGCCAGGTCTAACCCCCTCGAGTTTTCATCTTTCCTAGAACACCTCAGAGCCTTCCTGCCCCCTGGGCTCCCCCGGCCCCAAAAAGGATCTGGAGACAATGGACACCTGAACATCCCAAACCTGCACAGAAACGGCACCTCCAAGGGCTGAGAGCAGAAATCAAACCAGTTTGTGACACAACAGCCAGAGGGGGAAGAGACCCCTTTGGTGTTTTCATCACCGTGCAGCTCAGAGGCGTCTGAGCCAGGGTGGAAATGCTGGAAGTGGAGCCCAGAAGTGCTGATCAGTCAAACGCCCTGAGCCAGTTCAAACACATTCCTGAGGGCTGGCACAGCAACTTTGCCCTGGCAGGCACCGTGCCAGGGCAGGGACCTCTGTCCTCACCTCTGTCCTCACCCTGCGGCAGCAGGGAGCTCTGCCCCCGCGGGCACTGCCCCTTCCAGCTGCTCCCACAAAGGCACCAGCAGGATTCCTCTGGAGCCAGAGGGATTTGAACCCAGGCGATCCCACAGCACAGGGGAATGTTGTCAGTGACCCCGAACCCAGAGCCAGAAATACCGGGAACAGGGCCTCAGATACACTGGGAACAGGGCCCCAAACACACCGGGAACAGGGCCCCAAACACACCGGGAACAGAGCCCCAAACACTGGGTTTATTGTTCCATGTAATTTAGTTCCATATGCGTCCCTGGAGCCTCCTTCCATTGCACTGGGGATACTGCAAAGGTGATGTGGAGGGTTTTGTTCCTTCCCAATGTCCCATGTCACCTGCCCCCTGGCAGTGGGAGCCCCTGGTGTGTCCTTGCCCCCTCTGTGGATGTGGATTTCCCTGTGGATGCACCCCAGGAAATCTCCAGAGCCCCCTCCCTGCATCCTCTTCCTCAGGTCTGTTTATGTCCTCACTCAGGAGAGGAAAAAGACAAAAAGCAGACTGCAGGAATTCTTCAAAGCTGCCCAAATGATTGCATTTTTGTACCCTTCCCTCTCTCCAGGTGAAGCTGAAGCCTCAGGGGAACCCTGCCAGCCTTTCCTCAGGTCCTGCTCTCCCTGCCCACACACTCCTGCAAGGCTCTGCTGCTTGCCAAGGAACTCCTTCTCATCCCAGCTTCGCTGCCCGCTGATTTCTCGCCTTTTTCACCTTTCAGCAGGAGTGGGATGTGGGAGACGTCACAGCCTGGGGCTGGAGGAGACGCAGGAGCAGGGCTCGGGAATCCTGAGGATTCCTCACCAGGAGCACACGGGGACAGCCGAGGTCCCAGTGCAGCCTCCCACTCCGTGTCAGCGTGCAGGATTCGGCACAGCACCTCCAAAACCTCCAACAGCTCGAGGCTGCCAGCCTGACGAGCTGAGATCCACACTGAGCTGCCTTCCATCCGGATTTTCGGGAATTTGACAGCTCCATGGAGCTGCAGCTCAGAGCAGCTGCTGACAGCTCAGGGGAGGAGATGGGGTCATTCCCTTCCCGGCAAGGAAATCATGGATAGCACCCCTGGGAATTCCACAGTCCATGCTGGAACTGCTGGCTCCTGTAAAATCAGCTGTTGAAGGATCTGCTGCACTGCCAGAGCCTGCAATGCCCCATTTCCCCCCAGCACCCCCAGGTGCTGCCTGGGCTGGAGCTCCTTCCAACACCAGCAGGAGAAATCATCCCCAAATGTCCAATTTCTGTCACCTCTCTGAGCAGGATCTGAGATCCTGCAGCACTTCCCACTCGTTTGTCCCCTGGGACAGAAGGCACAACCTTCCCAATCCCAAACTCCAGCAAGCTGTACTGCAAGACAAGGGCAGCCAGAAGTGTCTCTGAACTCACACTAACTCTTACCCCAGCCCTCATCCTCCTCAGACAGATCCCATCTCCCTCTGAAATTCCTCATTACATTATAAAACTGTAACTTGATGCCCTGCTGAGAATTTTTAAATCTTCTCCATTGTATTCTTAAAGTATATAAGCAAAACCCCCATCACTTAATGAAGTGTAAAACTAATTATTATGAAATAAAACTAGCTGTTCACCAAGTGGAAAACCAGCCCATTTTCATGTCCTATTTTCCTTTGCAATGTATTCCCTCCCCTGCTCCGCAAATGTAGAAATAAATATCCCTCCCAGCATCGTGCTGCCTGGAAGCTGCAGCCCACCAATGAAAACCTGCACAATTTAATGGCCCTTAAACGCTCAGCATCTTTTTCTCTTCCTGTAAAATCCATCTGACCTAATGGCCGTGACAATTACGTGTATGGCCTTCCTATTAAAAGGTAATTTTCTGAGTTGGCAGAGCAACACAGGCAGATGACAAAAGCAGTAAACTGCGAGCTGCCAGCACTCCCAGCCACTCCTGAGCCAGCTCCTCAAGACAAAAAGGCAGAATTCCCTTTCCAGGGAGCTGTTCCACAGCAGAGCCTCGTGCCAAGGCCGGCTCCAGGCTCCATTACCTCGGTAATGTGGCGCTGCTGCTCCGGGGGACACCGAGCCTCTCTGGTGGCATTTGACATTCTGGTGACCTCCCCTTTCCTCCTCTCACTCCTGCCCATGGATGTGGAACCTTCCCCAGGGAGGGGACAGCTTTGACTTTTCATTCCAGGAGCCTGGAGACACCTCCCCCCCATTCTCCCAGGATTTACACAATCCACACCTATTAAAGCTCAAAACTCCACTGATATTTCTGTACCTTAAAAAGAACTGACCACCACAACACGAAAAAAAGAAGAAACCTTTTTATTGCTGTTGTAATACGGGAGAGATTTAGAAAAACATACCTAGAACTCCCTGGGTAAGGAAACACAATATCAAAATAGGCCAGTTAGTACAACAAAACAAATCCTCTCCAATAAGTTTCAAGTAATGCAATCATAAAAGAATTTGGCTAAAAAGTAACTCTTTACTCTGAGATGTTTTCTGTAATAGTCCTCTAAGAAACTAAAGGGAAGCAGCAGCAGATCTGTTTTGCTACAGACACGTATTTAGTAAATATATTAAGGGTATTTCTATATAAAAACTGCCCTGCACATCCATCACTGTCTGGAGCTTCCACGTGGCCTCTTCAACCCTACAAGACTCTGCCCAAAAAGGGACAAAAAAAAAAGAGATAAACACAACCCTGCTGTAAGAAAAGGAGCCCAGGGCCTGGAGGGGCAGCTGGGGGAGCCCAAACAACACAGAGCAGGAAACTCTGACTCCAGCCCTCATTTTTCAGGAGCACAGAGAGGAAGTTTGGCTTTTCTGCATCAGGATGCCACATTCCCCCTTGGTGGTTATCAGCAAAGGCTTTTAAAAAGTAGTGTGAGGTCAGCACTCCCTGGTGCTCAATTTAAACAGCCCCATTCGTTAACAGGCTCATTTCTCAAAGACTTCCCTTGAACAGTAACAAATTTCATGGTTTTTTTTTATGAAACTTCCTTATGGAAACCATCCTTCAGTTAAAAATGAAGCCTTGCTTCATGGGGAGATTCCAGCAATTAAAAATTCTCCTTTCATTAATCCTCGCTACCGACATCTTCCCCCATAAGTAAGATTAAAGCACATCATTTATAGCTCAGAATTCCAGGAGCTGGTGTTTGAAAATGCAATACCTGAAGTGCCTCAGTGAGTCCCACCCTGATGAGGAATGGAATTGTGCAGCAGCAGCACAGCACTGGGGTCCCAGTGCTGCTCCCCACTCCAGCCCCACTCCTCCAGCCTGCAGCAGTCAGGATTGAAGCACTCAGGAACAACCTGGGGGGAGGGACTGTTCGTTTTTGGATGGAAAACCTGATTTTTTTTTAAGTCTTGTAGAAGTAAAGGCACTAAATCTTAAGCTTATATATTAAATAAAGGCTGTAACTTGGCCAGCCAAGTTACAAGAGACACTGAAACACCTTCCTGTGTGTGTCACAGCACATCCTGCTCAGCCAGTGTGACAAATGAGCCACTTGCTCTTAATGATTAAGGGACATCCACAGCTACAACACTCAGCCACACTCCTCTGCACAGTTTATTTTTAACCATCCCATGAGAGTTCAAGTTCAAGGATCAACTGGAGCTTCTGGGTACAGGTCCTGCTGTAATAAGTGGTCAATCAGACATTAAATTAATTTAACCTCCATGTCATCATTTTGACAGTTTTACAAGATGTTCTCTACCTTTCATCCATCTCATGAAAACAGTGTCAGGCCTGAAACACCGTAGCCCTGGTTTAGTGTTTTATCAGAAGAAAATGCTTCAGCTTTGAGAGTTGTTTCGTACTGGGAGGCTGTAACTGCAGCTTTCTCAGCATCACTCATTTAATATCCACATAAAGCCCTGAAGGTTCTCATCCCACAGGCGCAGCAGCCCTCAGCAAACCAGGCCCTGCCTCATCCGGATGATCTGCAGCAGGGCAGCCTGGACATCTTCATCCATGTGACCCTGGAGGAGCAAACACTGGTCACAAACGCTGAGCACCACCCTGAGCACCACCCTGAGCACCACCCCCAGCCCCAGCCCCAGCAGGTTCCTCACTCAGCATCACCTGGACAGCGCTGAGCAGGTGTGTCCTGTACACCGACACCACCTCCTGGTGCTGCCGCTTGGCGTCCTAGGAGAGACAACAGGGACACCAGGTGAGCTCCCCACCCTCCAGCCTCTGCCCCTGCCAGCCCTGGCCACCTGCTCTCGGGCACTGCCAGACCAGCCAAAGCTGAATTTCCAGGTGGAAGTTTTATCCCCTCTGCTAATCAAGGAAGAAAAGTCGCTGCTCTTTCGCTGGGAGGTTGCCAGAGCCAGCCAGGAGCTGAGATCACAGAACGACAGAATGCCCTGAGCTGGAAAGGACCATCAGAGCCCAGCTCCTGACCTTGCACACTTGTTTCATCAGCAGCAGCAGATACTTGGTTAAAACCACCCCAATTTTACAACACTTTGCCTTGTAAGAATCAACCCTGCAAATACTCTGACAGATGTATTTGTGAACCTGAGCAGGAGGAGAACTCACTTTGCTCAGCCACATTTAATAATGAGCTTTACACTGAGGCCAGGTCCCAGCACCCAGGACGTGTCCCCTGCTCTGTCACTGCCTCATGACAAACACCTCACACAGGGCTTGCAGGCAGAGGAACTCAAAGCCATAAAGAAATTACCACCTCAGCCTTCTGAGGTGAGAAAGAACACATGGTCATAAGAAATGGCTAAAGCTGCATTCAGAAATGGTCTTGGCAGGATCATAGAACAGTATCCCACAAGCACAAATTCTCCTGCTTTGCTCACATCCTTTTCATCTGGAAAAGCTGCCAAGTGTTGCAACTCAAACTGAAGAGGAGAGCAGAAAAAAATTACAGAGAAGCAACAACTCAGGGGAAAAAAACCCCAAGAAAATCATGGCTATTGCACCTGTGAAGTGTGAGGCTGCAGCCCCTGCTCCAGCGGGCACATCCAGATTTCCCTGTTTATACAGGGAATTAAGCAATGCTACTGCACGTCAGACAACACCTTGTGTGAGCACTTACAGCCAGCTGCTGCTGGAGTGTTTTCACTTGGCTCTGGAGCAGTTCCACCTGCTGGTTGTGCCTCTTGGAGGGGATCCCAGTGGTGTATGTCAGCTGGGACAAGCCGTTGAGAGCCTGCTTCAACCGCTCCACGTCGTTCAGCAGCTCTGTTATCTTTAAAAAAAAACCCACAGAAAACACCATTTAAGGATGTCTCAGTGCAAAGTGTTCTTTAGCAATCCTTTGAGTCTGAGGGAGCCCAGCAAGCACTGAAGGGTCTCTGTCCCAGCTTGCTGAGGGAGGGCTTTGCTTTCCTGATGCGCTGGTTCCCCCTGTGCTCCCTGGGGTGTGCCAGGTACAGACCCTGCAGGTCAGCAGTGACAAAAGGCACTGGAAAAGGGGGGATCTAAGGATATTCCAGGCCTAACTTCCAGAAGGAACAGTGAACCTTTAGGAGGCAAGTCAGAGACACAAAACACAGCTCCAGTGGGTGGAGGATGTGCCCAGAAGTCTGAAGCTTTAACAGAATTTAAACACCACACAATGTCCAGAACATGTAAGGGACAGGAAAAACTTTGCATAATGTAAAATCAGGACTTCAGCTGCGATGGGGCAGCCCTGGGTACCTCGTGCTCAGCACAAAGTGCTGCTGGAACACATCAGGAGCTGCAGCCCAGTCCCCAAACACCGAGAGCATCAGGAGCCTGAGACCCAGATCTCACCTTGTTGTCCTTGGCTTCCACCTGCTTTGCAGACTCCTGGATCCTCTTCTGCAGGTCAATAATGGTTGTCAGCGATTTGTCACACCTTTCCTTCTGGTCCTTGATCTCCTGCTCGATGCTGCAGCTGCGCAGCTGGAGCAGCTCCTTCTCGTCCTTGAGGGACAGCTCGCTCCTCCTGGCCTGCAGAGCCTCCTCGCAGGCCTGCTCGTACTTGTGGCTCATGCTGGCCAGGTGGCCAGCCATGCTGCTGACCTGGGCCTCCAGGGCGCTCTTCATGGAGCTGTACTCTGCCACAGCCACCTCCTGCTGGCCCTGCAGCTCGGCCAAGGCCCGCTGGCTCAGCCGCAGCTCCTCCTGCAGCCCCAGCACCTCCTCGCTCTTGGCTTGGCTTTCCGCCTCCTTCTCCTTCAGGCTGGACTTGAGGGCCGCCATCTCCCCCTGCAGCCCTTCCTTCAGCTGGGTGTGTTCCCCCAGAGGCACCGAGCCCTCCTTCAGCTCGGCCAGCTCCCGCTGCAGCTCCCGCACCAGGAGCGTCTCCCGGCCGTATCGCTCCTCCTTCCTGCTCAGGGCCTCCTGCAGCTCCTGCACCGTGCGAGCCAGAGCCTCCCTCAGCGCCTCCACCTGCTGTGCCGGGGGCTGCTGCGCCAGGGCCCCGTCCTGCTGCCCCTCCTGGCCCTCCTGCCCCGAGTACTTGCCCAGCAGAACCCTCAGCTGCAGGTTGAGCTCCTCCATGCCGCGGGCACACAGCCGCTCCAGCTGGCGGGACCTCTCGGCCAGCACGTGGCTCTGCTGCAGGTCCCTCTGGATGGACACAACCCCGCTCTGCAGCTTCTCCTTCTCCTCCCTGCACCTCTGCGCCTCCTCCTCGCTCTCCCTGCGCCTCTGCTCCTGCTCCTGCAGCTCTGCCCTTAATTCCTTCACTGTGGCCTCCAAGCTCTGCTCCCTCTCCTCAAAGGAGGCCACCGGGGCATATTTTGACTTGATGCACTCTTGAATTGTGTCCAGTTCCTTCTTCTGGGCTTCGATTTCTGCGTGCAGCTGTGAGATTTCATCCTGCCCCCTCTCGTGCTCAGCCCTAACGGCAGCATTGTTCTCCTGCAGCTCTTGCACGCTTTTATTTAAAGTATTTACCGTGGTTTCGTGATCCTTTAAACTTATATACTCCGTCTTTAATTGCTTCTGTAAGAGTTTCACCTGATCTTTTAAAGCTCCATTTTCTTCATTTACCCTCAGGAACTCTTGCTTTATCTCTCCAATTTTGCCCTTCAGATCTGACAGCTCCCCGTTGGTCTTTTCCAGGGTGCTGTTCAGGGCAGTTTTGACCTCCTCGTGCGTGGTGGCCAGCACGTACTGATCCCTCAGGGTGTCCCTCAAGCCTGTGTTCTCGCTCACCTATTTCTCCTGGAGCTCAGCAAGCTGCTTTTCAAGGGCAATCCCATTCGATTTTAAAGCTTCCACCTCTTTCTTGTGCTGCTCTGGAGACAGGTAGGCAGCTTGCAAGTGGCTGATGTTCTCACTTAAGTCCTTCTTCTCTGCCAGCAGCTTTTCAGCTTCTGCTTTGCTTTCATTGTACTTCTTTGTTATTTCAAAAAGCTTTTTTGTCAGGTCACCCACAGCCAGATCGTTTGTTTTCTTCAACTCCTCATGAATTTTTAAAGGCACGTTCTGGCTTTTAATTTCAGTTTTTAGCATCTGGACTTGCTGCTTCAGCACCTTGTTATCAGCCTGCAATCTTTCAAGTTCCTTCTGCAGAGTCTCATTCTTCTGAGATAGCTCAGAAATTGCCTTCCCCAGCTCCTCTTTCCTCTGCTCAAACCCACTCCTCATCTGCTCGTGCTCCTCTGGCTTCACACGCTGTGCCAGCTGAGCTCTCTGGCTCTCAGACTCCCTCTGTAACAGCACAACCTCTGCCTGCAGCTTCTCCCGCTCCCCCTCCACCTCTGCTAATCTCCTCGCTTTCTCATTCACCTCGTTTGACAGCAAACTCTTCATGTTCTCAAACTTCTCTGCGCTCACAGACTGGGCCAGTTTGGCTGCTGTCTCTCTCAGCTGCCCTTCCAACTCCTCGACATTCCTGCCCCTTTTATCTCTCTCCGTCTCCAACCTGACAAGCTCCTTCTGCAACCTTTTGTTTTCCTCCACCAGCCTCCCCTCGTCCCTCTGGAACTCTGCCACCAGCAATTCATTCTGCTTGATCTGGTTCCTCAGTTTCCCCACCTCAGCAGAGGCTCCCTCGTACTTGGTTTTCATCTCCCGGAGCTGCTCCTTGAGCTCCTCGGTGGCCTTGGTGCTCCCCGAGGCCACCTCGTTGCTCAGGTGGTCCTTGAGAGCGAGGAAGTGGCTCTGCATCTGCTTCACTTTGCCCTCAGAGTCAAACATCCTCTTCTGCACGTCCTTCAGAGCATCCTCCAGCTGTCTGATCTGCCCGTCTGCCTCCGCCTTGCTCCTCTGGCACTCCGAGGCCAGGGCTTGGCACTCGGAGCCCTTCAGGGCCAGCTCCCTCTGCAGCCTGCTGATCTCCTCCTTGGCTGCACCAAAGCAGCTCCTCAGGCTCTCCAGTTCCTTCTTCAAAGTTTCCTTCTCTGAGCTGGGTGACTGGGTGGGCAGGGAGAGCTCCAGGGGCCTCAGCATAGACCTGGACTGAAGGGAAATTGGCACGAAAAACAAAAATTCACAACTCTGACAGGTCACATACACGTGTTTATTACTCATTATTTAATAAGGGAACTGCCATTATTTAATCTGGGACCTCTCTAAAATCCAGTTGATCTGAGAATAACTTGTACAAGAGATTTCTTTTTTTTTTTTACACTAAGTTATCCTTGCCCCTATTAGAGAACAGCTTCTAACAGCAAAAATACTGAATACAGCTCTACATTACTGCTTCCCAATCATGGGATGGTTTGGGTTGGAAGGGACCTTAAAGCCCACCCTGTGCCACCCCTTCCACTGTCCCAGGCTACCCCAAGCCCTGTCCAGCCTGGCCTTGGACATCCCAGGGATCCAGGGGCAGCCCCAGCTGCTCTGGGAATTCCATCCCAGCCCCTCCCCACCCTCCCAGGGAACAATTCCTGCCCAAGATCCCATCAAAACCTAGAGGGGCAGGTATAATGCATCAATTCCACTTCACCTGTTCTGCATTCATATTTAATCACTCATCTGCTAGAACAAATTTAATTTATTAAGGTATTTCCCCCATCCCTCAAGTGTGTGAAAATAATTTTATAAGGAATCAGAGCAGAGAATGCCATAACAGAGCCTTCCTGCTGAGAAGGACTGAGGAATGCAGTCATTTGGAATTCCAGAAGGGTTTGGGTTGGAAGGGACCTTAAAGACCACCTCATTCCACCCCCAAGGGTCTGCTGGACCTCGTTTATACCCAAATTGTTGCTTTAAAAGGTTGATAGCTATCAGAATTATTATATAGCAGGCAGGAAAATGAAATCATCTGTATATTAGCTGAATTTAAATTAGAAAAATATGATGGAGATGAATGCCCAGTTCACAGAGTGACTCTGTAAAACACGTTTAGGAGGGCTCTGACAGAGCCTGCAGTTCCCAGCATTCACAGCCCTGTCACAGACAGGACTCTAGAGGGCACCCACAGTTAAAAGCAAACATGGAAACACCAGAATTCCTCAAAACTGCACGTTCAGAAGCAATGCTAAATAAACACACGTTTACAAGCACGTTTAGCTTTCCCAGCACGACTGTCTCACAGTTCCTTCCAGTGGTAAAATATTTATTACCTGGGACTCCACTGCAAGTGCTTGGCCTTGTTTAAGCAATAAATCTTCTTTCCCTGGATTTTCAAAGCAAACAGCATTTAGGCTCTGGTTAAAAACAGTAACACAATCACAAGAACACTGATTTTCCTGCCCTGCTTTACTCTGGTCACTGGGGTCACACTAGGCTGAAGGCTGGTGTGTAAGTACTTGTTATTAAAACAACTTCTACTCAATTAATCCCCACAGGGAGCCTGGCCAAAGTCCTCCTGAGGAGGAGAGAAGTGTTTTGCCAGGCTGGGTTCTGGTCCTGCAGGAGGGTCAGAGCTGGCAGCTTGCCCAGCTCGTGTCTGCACTAAGCACAGCAGGGAAAGCATCCCCAGCACTGCACATCCAGGACTCCTCCTGCCAGGCACTCCAAATGTCATTGAAGCTGTCAAGAGCCCTTGTGTGACACAGGGCAGGGCAGGTCTGCAGCTGGGCAGGGTGCAGGAGGCTCCAGCTCCTCACAGGGGTGGCAGCTCGGGTGCTGTGCTGGGAGTCAAAGCTCTGAGAGCTGCTGCCCCTCAGCCAGGAAGGATGGCAGGAGCAGGGATCCTGCTCAGCTCGCTCCTCAGCTCACCAGAGGACACAGCAGAGCCCCAGACACATTTCCCAAGGGCAGGCAGCCCTGGGAGATTGGTCAGTGGTGCCCTGCAGCCCCTACAAACACAGCTCTGCTCACACAGGGCCTGGCTGCATTTCAGAGCAGCAGAAGGAGGAGATGACCAAACCCCTTTATCCCTGTACTCTAACACTCCATCATGCACAGCAAGCTTCAACAATTAACTGTACTTACTGTTTCCAAAGTTACCTCCAGACCCTGCAGACTCACCCTAAAATCAAAGAGCAAGGAACAAAAGTAAAGAAAAACTGGAAACTTATCTCAGATTTCTGCTCTGTGTTAAACTAGGGGTGAAGGGGCAGGGCAAGCTTTTGCAATGAGAGCCATTCAACAGCTTCAGCAATTTAAAATGCTGAAGTATTTCCTACTGTAAATCTCAATTGCTAGACCCCATTTCAAACCACTCAACATACTTCATAATACTTGAGTTTAGCTTTGAGAGCTTCAATAGTCCTTAAACTTTCTTCCTGCTGCTTTTCCTTGGTAGTCAGGATTTTCTTCAACTCATCTTTCTGAAAGAGAAGGAGTGCCACATAGCCAAAGCCACAAGAATGGATAGGTTTGTAAGAACTCAAGTAACTTCTTAAAGAGTTTAGACAGAACTTCAACCAAGATCAGCACCGAAAGAATCCCTAATATTTGTTTCTGGAATCATTCTTCAGGACTGCTCCTCTACAGGAGAAGTCCTGAAGAACCAGTGAAGAATATCCACCAGCATCACCTGCTATGTTTAATTAATGCAGATTTGTTAGTCTGGCATTACTGGAAGTCACTAGAGAGATGCCTAATGCTGTCAGTGTGCTGAATATCCTAAGTGTGCTCCAAAGGAGCCATGGGAATGATAATTATTTGTAGTACCAGAAGTGCTGTGGAGCTGCACAAACTGATCCAGAGCAGCAGATACCTCATTTGGCATTTTTACGTAGCTTTTAAGTAATGTATTTAAAACTGCAGAGGAAATAAAAGAGAGAGTTGCTTCCCCTGCTCCCCAGTCCTGTCACACCTGCAGGTGACACATCCTACCTCATTCTCAAGATCATCTGCAAACATTTGCTCCTGCAAAAAAATACACAAAAAAATCCCCCCCCAAGTCATTTGTCAGTGATGTTCAAGGGGCTCACACACAGTTCATCAGCTGACACATCCACCCCACTTTCTACTGCTCCCTTCCAATTTCCAGCCAGCTTCATCGCTCTATTTTCCATTTCTCTTGCCAGGATGAAGGATGTCTGACAGGGTAATGTCTCTGGAAACTGCAATCTCTCCTGTTTTCTAGCTCAGACAGCACCCAGGCAGCAGAGCACAGCTCTTCAGAAGTTTGCTGATTTTGGGAAGTGATTATTAAGAAGTTTGTTTTATAAAGGCAGTGCTTAAAACAGGAGTTCAGACAAGCCAGTGGCTGCACTAAGAAATATTATTTCTATCCATGGGCTACATTTAGGAGAAGCTGCATAAATGTACCTCTACAAAAATACAGCAAAGAAACAGCCTCCACAAAGCAAAAACCCAACAAAAAATCCTCTTTTGGCTTCCTTCTACTGGTCACACTTAGACCTCCAAAAAGAAGGATTATTTTTTTTTTATCAACGTTTCAAATTTGGGTGAGAAACTTCTGTTGAAAACCTTTGGCTTTGTTTCCTTGCCAATTGAAGATTTATTTTTTCCCCATGCTGCCACTTCCAGTAACAGCTGGAGAATCAGCTGATGACAAAGCCCTGCCACGCAGCACCTACATCCAGAGGAGAGATGAAGCTCAGCCTCCAAACTCCAGAGCTGCACTGGGAGGCAGAGCCACAGGTGCTGACGTGTCTGGGTGTCAGGGAAGGACACTGCATCAGCCTGGAGTGACACACATGGCAGAAATTCCCAGGAAAGCAGTGATTCCATTCCCACCCTGCTTCCATGTGCTCCCAGCTGGGTGTCCCAGCTTTACCTCAGTCAGCTGCAGCTGCAGCCCACTGATCCTGTCCAGCAGCATCCTCTGCTCCTCCTGCACTTCTCTCATTCGATCTTTCAAATCTTGGTTTTCCAACTCCAACTCCTTAAAAGTAAAATATGAAATTAAAAAAAACCCCAAACAAATAAAGACCTTCCCACACTACACACACATTGGGAAAGGTAAAGACTCTGAACCAGCAGATTTACTGAGGACTCCAAGCCCTGCCTAGCCTCTTGAAAGCTGCAGTGACATGGGAATGAGATGGGAAAATTAATGCTGGTTAGTAGAATAATTATGATTCAGATTATTTTTAGTAAGACACGAACATACATCTCTTGAGAATGTTAAAAAAAAATAAATCTTCCTCATTTGGACTGATTTTACTGCAGAGGCAGAAGGTTAAGGGCGAGGAAAGGTTAAGACAGGGACATTTCCAACTATTTATTACCCAGAAAAGTGCAGTTTTTTCCTGAAAAAGTTTACAGCTCATCTGCACAAGTGCCACACTCCACATCAGGAAATTAGGCTTGAAGCAAACAGCAACACAGGACCTTTTCTGATGGGATCACTGTGCTGACTCCAGCAGCCCAGCCTGTCCTCACCCCTGTGGGAATGCACAGGGCTCCTCCCCACCCACCTGAGCACTGGGCTCCTTCTGGAACATTCTGAGCTCCTCCTGCGCTCCATAGCCCCGGCCCCACTTCTGGGACGCGCTGGTGACCTGTCAGTGCAGCAGGAGAACATTCCTTTACAGCCATGCCAGCCTCCCAAATTCCCAGTGGGACGGGGGAATTCACCCTGACTGCCCCCAGGGAGGATCCCCCTCTCAACACCCCGCTGACAAACGGCCTCAGCCAGTACCTTCTGCTCAGCCTGCCCTCTCTTCACGCTGTCTCTTCCTAAAAAGGCACCACAAAAATAGCAAGTTACATAAGGCATTTCATTCAGATTCGTGCAACAATGCCACACATTCAGCTAATTCTATCCCCTTCCCACCCTGGGAGGAGGGCATTGCAAAAAACAGCTCGCCACACCCCCCAATTAATCAAACGTGGAAACATCCACAGGGTTTTCTATAAAATAAAGGCTATTTCTTTCTATAAAATAAAGGCTGCTTCTATAAATTAGGGTAAATAACTCTCATGATCAATACTGTTAAGCCCTCGAGGCATCAGAGCCAGCAACCTCCTTAAAAGCTTTGCTAAAACCACACAACCCCAAAAACTGTCTTTCCCCTCCCAAACTGGCAGATTATGACCTTTGTGGTCAAAGGTCCGCCCTCCAAAACAACTCCTGGAGTCACAGGAGCAGGGACACAATCCCAGCCAAAGGAAAGTGCTGCAGGTTCCTCCTACCTCTGCTGGAGTCCTCAAGGGCAGCTTTTATTAAAGCCAAAATGTCGATATTGTCCCCAATCCTGGCATAGTAAGCGCAGTCGTGCCCGAGGCCGTCGGTCAAGCCAACGTCAGCACCGTTCCTGAGCAGCACCTCCACGGCATCCTTGCAGCCATACTCACAGCCCAGCATCAGGGCAGTCCTGGAATGGGACACAGATGGCACTGCCAGCTCCAGGGATCCCACAGAGCCCACTCACAGAGCCAGCCCCGCCACCTCCGTGTCTGATCACAGAAACCTCAGCCAAGGCACCTTCCCCTCTGTCCACAGAGGAAACCGCCTCCAAAAGTCACTCAGGCAACGTTTAAATATTTGTGAAAAAGGAAACAAACCCACCAGAACAGCAGTATTCCCACAAAACCAGCACAGACCTGCTGCCTTTGGAAGTCACCCGGTGTTTGGGAACTGCCATGACTTTGGGCTCCTCCAGCACACACAAATCTCAGCAGACACAGCAGCACCAGGCGAGGAGTTTAGACTGGGTTTGGAGAGCCCTGGCAGTGCTTCCCCAAACGCTTCCAGGCTCTGTCCCACACCAGCCTCGTGCCATGGAGGAATTCTCCAAGAAATAACTGGCAAAAGCAGCAGCTGCAAGCAGAACCCCCCTGCACTGCCCCCAGGAATAAACAGCTCAAGGTCCCTTGGGGGCTCCAATGGACACAGGACTTGCTGCCGGAGCACCACCTTTGCCCACTGTGCACAAAGGCTGCTCTGGACAGAAAATCCCTCTGAACAACCAAGTGTAGGTTCCCTGCTGGCAAGACCAAGCCTGGGAATATCCTGGATGGGAGCAGGAGCAAGGAAAAAAGGCCAGGTTTATCTGCGGTGTGGAATTGGCAGATCCACCTCTGAACAAAATCCCAGGCTCTCTTCCCCCAGACTCAGCACATTTCCCGTGCCAAGGGGCAGCTTTCCAGCAGGAATTCCAGCAATGAGGAATTCCAGCAATGCCCTGCAGGCCTCACCTGCTCTGCTTGTCCCTGGCGTTGACATCGGCCCCCCTGTCGATGAGCAGCTGGCAGACCGCGGGGCGACACATCTGGGTGGCCAGCACCAGCGGTGTCCTCCCGTCCTGGGGGACACAGGGGACAGGGTGAGGGCAGGGGACGGGGCAGGGGAGCCCAGCAGGTCTGTGCAGAGGAAGGGGAGGGCTCCTTACCCCGTCCTTGGAGTTGACGGCAGCGCCGTGGTCGCAGAGCAGCTGGATGCTGGCGGAGCAGTCGGACATGGCTGGGGACAGAGCAGGGAGCGGGGAACACAGGGCAGGGAGGGGAGGTCAAGCTGTGAGAGCAGCCCAGGGAGGCTCCAGGCACATCCCTGGGTGTATCTGCTTCACCAAAATCCCCAGAGCCGAGTTAAAGCCTGGCAAGGCTGCAGGGCTCAGCTCTCACCCCATCCAAAGCACCCGAAAGAAATCAAACACCCCCGTGAGATCAAACACCCCCGTGCCACATGCTCTGCAGCAGCAGGAGGATGCAGAAAACCCAGAGAAAAGGGTCCTAACCCACTCTCAGCACTGCCCTAAAGCTCTGCTTGTGGTACTTGAAGATTTTACTCAATTTCACCTCAAACCTCCAAGCTCCGTAAGACACATATTCACTATCAAGGACAAATGTCACGACAATATAAAACACTCTCTCCTCCTACAGTCACCAAAATTAAAAGAGAAGAATCCAGCCCATCTGGAAGTGAATCCATCAATTAAATCTTCATTTCCATACAGTTGCCAGCAAAGCAAAGCCCTTCACCTGCATCATGAAGAGCAGTTCTTCCCTGGAGATCCACGTTCTCTGTTGGACAATTGTACTGTTAAAATAAATAACCCCAGTTATCAGTCAGAATCCAGACTGCATTTACAACATCAGCTGCTTTGAGGTGCAAATTAAAGCAATAAAATATTATTTCAGTAAAAAATAAGCAAGGTTGGAGCTACAAATATAGTGACAGACATGAAAGAAAGAGCTCTGGGTCTGTGCACTTTAGGGCTCTAAACATACACAGTGTAAAACAAATTTAAGGCTGTGCACAGGAATTGCACAATTCATTAGACTTTTCAGATTATGAGCCTTTAGCTCTGCATGGAGACAAGTAAAAGTTTAAAAGGACCCATTAAAAATAACAACAACAACAAAAAAATAAAATCAAATGAGCATGCACTGACCAGGAATAAATGAAGAAAAAATAAACATCACACAAACATAAGACAACCCCCCAACATTGTTTCATTAGTGACAGTTTGTGGCTATAAACACCCAGCTTTTGAAGCAGCCCGTGTTACTGTTTGTAAACTGCATTCAGACAGGGAACTGCAATCTTTACAAGACACTCAGCCCCATTTTCTTCAACAACCATAAACTACAACTTGATTTGATAATCTATGAAAAGATTTTTTTTAAAAAAAAGTTTATTTTCTTTATTTTAGCCCTCTTTCAGTCCCAACCTGGTATTTAACATGAGAAGGTCTTTTCCCCATGAATCTTATTTTTAAAATAAGAGTCTGATTGGTTAAGAAAGGAATCACATATCCCAATTTTGAATCAGTGTACTTAAAGCCACCCTTTCCCCCTCAATTCAAGAGCTGTAAGAGACAAGCTGTACTTTCAGTACCTGCAAGAGCTTCTGCAAGCACAAAGCATGGCCATACTTTGCAGCCAAATGCAGGGCGTTTCTGCCTAAAAACAGAACAGCAGCTCAGGGTTAGGGATGAGTGAATTCCTCATTAATATTCCCAACATTTGAGATGCAACAGTTCCTGTGTGCTCTGACATCTCCTGTCCACACCTCACTCTGCTACAGCCTTTTCCTGTTCCAGTGAATCTCCAGTCAGGGATCAGAGCTCTTTTGGGAAATCCATCTCAAGATGCTGCATCTGACTCCACACAAGGATTTAATAAATCAACTCTTCCCATAAGAGGAAGAGGCCAAGTTATCTCTGTGAACTTTCTTGTTTCCAGCTTCAAGTTAAACCTGTTAAATTCTGGTCATTTCAGGTAAGAAGCTGGAAATTAGCACCTGTTTTTAACTGTCTCTTCCACATGGCCTCCCACAAGCTCTGCTATCACACAAGGAAATGTGGAAGGTACAGATGAACTCTGAGCTCCTGAGGCTCAGCTGGGCACACAAACACCTCCCACAACATTCCACTGGAATCCTCACCTCCACTTCATTTAAAACTGTTCTTATCCTGTTGTTCTCACCCAGAAACGCTGATCCCACCAGTGAGTCTGGAGCATGTTATAAACACAATTATAGCAGCACAAACCCACGTTCCTCAAGTTCTGCTGCATTCATGAATTCCCTGACAGGACACAGCCAGTCTCCTCAAGACCAGCAACAAGTCACACCAATAATTCAATTTTTGCCAGCTACAGAAAGAAGGAAGAGCTGTCCTGTGGTTCAGCTTAACTTCACTGCAGAATGAAACCCAGCTGAGAGCATTTTCAGGTTCCCCTGGTGAGGAAACCCACCTGCAGCATCCGTGGCTGTGATATCAACTCCGTGCACCAGGATGGTGTTCAGGCAATCCAGGTTTCCCTTCGATGCTACAACATGGAACCTACAACAAAAAAGGGGCAAGACCTTGCTTGGGCACAGCTGGTTTGTACACAGAAATGGCAATATTGGCCAGGAAAGCCAGCAGATGTGCAAGGGAAGCGTTAGGGGGGGCAGCTCTGGACAGCATCCAAACTTCAGGGTTCTGCAAATATTACTTCAAGGAACAAAGCAACTTTCTTGAGAAACAACCATTATTTACCTGGATCAGTGAACCAGGTGAAATACCAGTGTGGTTTCAGTTTCTCTTTAATATCCAAACCTGGCAAGAACAGGTCTTTAAACACTCATCTTCACTTGCAAGTGAAGATTGATTGAGACTTTCCCATTCCAGCCAGCTGGATTCCAGCTCAGTGAAGCTAGATTTAGATGAGATTTCTGTACTCAAAAAGGCTTCTAGAGCAGCAGAAATACAACTTTCAGCAGCTTCCCACCACCATTCCCGGAGCTCTGGACGTCACTTACGCGGATCTCCCTTCCACATCCAGCTTGGTGGGACTGACCCCTTTCTTGGCCAGGATGGATGAAACCTTCTCCACATCGCCCCTCTCAGCTGCCTTCATTAACCTGTCATCGTACTTGCTCCAGTCGGGGTTCAGCTGCGAGACACAGTCACAGAGTGAGCTCAAGCTGAGCCAGGAGGCAAACGGGACAGCACAAAAGCCACCTCAGTTTCCAGAGCGCTGTTCCCAGCAGGGTGTTTGGAGTTATCTGTGCTACATCCCCGTGACATTGCTCTGGTGTTCAATCTGCAGAGCTCTGGGACAGCCTGCTTAACCCACTTTGGTTCTAAAGGAGGCCTTTAGGATCAAGCTTTGGTTTTCCTCGTTCTGTTTCAGTTTGTCCCTGCTCAGTTTTCGTGTTCCCACAACAAATGGATGCACTAAAAATACGCTGCAGGATGTGGCTTTTCCTGGCTGTGCCAGGCTGTTCAGTGGGTCATAAATTAGCCAAGGGTGATATTCAAAGGAAGAACATCTACTGAGCTGCAGAGGAAAGAAACTCCAAGTTGATAGTTTTGAATTGCCTGCAATTCCCAAAGCACTGTGGAGGGCAGAGAAAGCCCCAGGCAGTTATGAACAGACCAGCAGCCATTCAGCCCCAGACAGTCCTCATCCCCCAGCCCTCTCTTGTTTAATTTAAACTTTGAATTTCAGGCCCCAGGCCAAGCCTCCCACCCCAAACACAGAGTTTGTTCTCTTCCCTGCCAAACCATCCCTTGAATGGATCAGGGCTTTTCAGGAGAGTGGTCTGTGACAGAAACCTCACATCCAAGCTGGACACTGATGACCTGATATTCATCAAAGCAATATTATACTGAAAATAGGAGGACAGCATTCAAATCTAACTCTGCACAGCAAGAGAATTTGCTGGTGGGACACAAGCAGCCTGAGGGTGCATGAAGTTACATTCCACTGTGGGTCAGAAATTCCTCAGAACAAAGAACATTAAAGCAGGTAACCCCAGCCCAGGGTTTGTTTAAGTAAAAGAGGGTACACAAAAAGAACAACCCCAAAAATCCACTGCCACCACCTGCATCTGCAGTGGTTTGTAAAAGGGAGCTGCACTCATGGTCAGAGGAACCAGAGGGGGTCCCATCAATCCATACAAACATCTCCAAGGGGTGTCACAGGATGACTCCACACTGTTCAGTGGTACCTGGGACAAGAAGCAATGGCCAGAAACTAAAATACAAGAATTTCCACCTCAATGTGAGGAAGAACTTCTTTCCACGGAGGGGGCAGAGCCCTGAGCAGCCACCCAGGGAGGGCTGGAATCTCCATCTCTGGAGACATCCCAAGCCCACCTGGCCACGTTCCTGTGTCACCCGCTCCAGGTGACCCTGCCTGTGCAGGGGGCTGGCCTGGAGGATCTCCAGAGGGCCCTTCCAGCCCTAACAACTCCAGGTGATTATCTTTCCTCTGCTTTCCCACAATAAACAAGATTACAGTAATCATGAAGGCTTAGCAGCAGCTAACCCAGCCCAACCCTGCTAGAAGTGACAGGAGTATTAAAAATAGAGCACTAATGACATGAGCAGCAGTGCTGCCCGGCTGAGGTGCAGCACTGACTCATCAATCAATTAACACATCCATTAGCCTGAGAGCCAAGGCAGCCTGGCCCCAGAGGTCACTGCACTGGTGACATGGCCTGTGCCATGTCCCTCCCCAGCTTGGACAGGCTGCCCTGCAAAGCCACCTCCTCATGCAAGGCTCAGCTTCCCATGTAAATACCCGAGAGACTGCACCTACACCAAGCTCTGCGCTCCCTAAATCCTCCTGGCGCCTTCCCATCCCTACAGGACAGGGATTTCACCCTGGGTGATCACACTGGGGCAGGATTGCTGGGATGTACCTCTGCAGCCCATACCTGCCAGCACAACTCACCCAAATGTACAGAACTCACCCAAATGTACAGAAAATCCTCCCAATCCCCCCCAGCCAGTCCTCACCCCCATTTCATAAGAGTTCTGATTAACATAAGCATTACTTTAAAAAAAACAATCAGTCAAACCCAAATAAATCCATCACCTTCATATTTTTTCCCTTTGCTTATGACACTTCAGTAACTTGTATCCACAGCTCATGGTGTGCTAAGTTTAAAAGGGGATGGAGGGACAGGACACAGGGGATGGTTTCCCACTGCCAGAGGTTGGATGGGATATGGGGAAGGAATTCCTGGCTGGCAGGGTGGGCAGCCCTGGCACAGGTGCCCAGAGCAGCTGGGGCTGCCCCTGGATCCTTGGAGTGTCCCAAGCCAGGCTGGACATTGGGATTTGGACACCCTGGGACAGTGGGAGGTGTCCCTGCCATGGCAGGGGTGACACTGGGTGGGCTTTAAATCCCTTCCAACCCAAACCATTCCATGATTAAATAATTATACACTTAACAAATGCATTTCACACTTGAGGAAAACCCCTCGCAGGAGGAGCTGCTAAGGAGATACAACACTCATTAATTAAACAGAAGCACTACACCACATTTACACAAGCCAAGCGTTCACATTTTGCAGCTGTAAATTACTGCCAGGACACGAAAGCTCAGCCAGACCTGCGGTACCTACGGCGTTTTTGGCTGCACAAGAGAACCAACAAATCATGCTGAACTCGGGCTGCCAGGAGCCACCAGCCCCCGGCACATCAGCTCACAGCGAGGAACGGCTGCTCGGCTCCTCCTGCTCCATCCTTCACTTAGCTGGGCTCCCCGAGGGTGATTTCCCCATCTTCAGCATCATCTTCAGCCTTCATAACTCCGGGAAGCGTCGCTGGCCGGAGGAGCGGCGAGCGTGGCCGCGCTGCCCGGAGCCAGAGCGGTAATTCGGGAAACAGCCAAAGGCAGCCGAGCATCTTGTAAACAATACGTAGCCAGCGTCATCAGCCCCATCTATTTTCTGATAAGGCACTACTGGACAGGCAGGATAGAAAGCAATAGCTATTAATACATTCCCATGCCCTGAGTCAGGCTGGCGGTGTGTGAACTCAGGGGACAGGAACGCTCCGCAGACACCAAACCCTCCTTCAAAATAACCAACACGCTGCTCACATCCACGGGGCACCCACACCGAGCAAGGTCACGCTCGGCACTAATAAATAACACACCAGGACTGAAATACTCCCGGCAGGAATTTTTTCCCCGTTCCACCGCGCCACGGAGCCGTAACCAGACTCGGGCTCAGACGGTTACGACTGCGGAGCAGATGGAACGCGTGATCCTATTTTGACAGAAATGTAACCCATTTTAAATTAGAAAACACACATGCCTCTGCTTTAAAAAAATTCTCCTTTTACAGCGTTGAAACCCTTTCTGAATAAAACCTGGTTTCAGCTTACTGCTGCTGCCAGTCTGTCTCCCAACATGTGAAACGAGAGGAGTCACAGAGGCTGTGAAAACATGAAATAGACAGCACAATGATTAACAGGAGGGAGATGGAGAATCCCCTTTCACAAGTTTTAAATTTAAATGGAGATCTCCCAAGTGCCGTATTTAGAGGAGTAGGTCAACAAGACAAGCAATGCACTGTTTTGTCTGCAGGAGAGAAACCTGGTCCAGGGCCAGGAAAAGCACTTACACACACCCTGGAGGACACACACAGCAGAGGCTGTGAATAACCTAATAAATGGATCTCCTCAGCAGAGAACTTTCAAATCAATCACTCAGATTTGGGCAGATTCTCTCTTTCCCAGTAAGTTCTGAACTATCTCCCATCCCCTGTGAGAGCACCAGCCTTTGCCCCACAGCACAAACATGGCCCAAGGAATGTTCCAAGACCTCTCTGCAATTAGGATCCATGTGACAAAGCCACTCCAAAAAAGTGCAGTGACTGTGCTGTCTTCCGACCACAGCCGAGTCTGTCTCCTCAAGCTAAGAATGGCTGTTTTTGGAGGGGGTGGAACAAATACACCTCCCAAGAGGCAGCCACAGAAAAGCCCCACTTCACCAAAATCAGTTTGGTGAGAAACGTAGGTAAGGCTGTGGCTCCCAGGTGAACAGTCTGCTCCAGAGTATTCATCCCAAAGGTTTTCCTTGTCTCCACCTGCCTGCAAACATTGAGCTGCACTCACCCTGCAGCCCCTTTGTGCTGCACATCCTCCTGAGACAGCCCTGACCACAAGATTTAGGATGGCTGAAGCCTGGCACAGAGCAGCTTCCATGGCTCCATCAGCACCAAGCAGCCTCAGGAAACACAGCCCAGCTACAAACCCCAGGGATGAAACCTTCTCCAAGGCAGCTGAACCCAGAGAGCTCAAAGGCACCAGCTTAAAAATGCTCTTCAAAGTAAATGAAGTGTATAACTTAATTCAGATTTTTTTCCCAAAATTAAGACCAGAAACATCATCAGACCCCAGCAGCGCAGATCTCTGGAGCTGCTACATCACCCTCCACACCACAGGTGCCTGCCCAGGGCTGATCTTGCCCATTCTGTGTTAACACAGAGCACCTGTTCTCCTAAGCTCAGCCTGCCAGGAATCCTTCCATCCTGCAGCAGGATGCAGACACGTTCCCAGCAGCCTGATCAGGGACACAACACAAACCCACTGTGCCCTCCTGGCTCCCAGTGAGGGACAAACTTCCTGGCTGAAAGAATTCCTCTCCCCGCTTACTCAAGTCCAGGTAAGCTCTGAGCATCCTCCACACCCTCTGCTGAGAAACTACAGCTTGGGAGAATGGAGTGACAGGACAAGGGACAATGGCCTCCCACACAAAGAGAGGAGCTTTAGGTTGGTTTGGAGGGAATTCTTCCCTCTGAGGGTGGGCAGGCCTTGGCACAGGGTGCCCAGAGCAGCTGGAGCTGCCCCTGGATCCCAGGATCCAGGCTGGATGGGCTTGGAGCAGCCTGGGACAGTGGGAGGTGTCCCTGCCATGGCAGAGGGGGACAGGATGAGCTCTAAGGTCACCTAACCCAGCTCAGAAAGACCAGCTGTAAATCAAAGCAGCTCCTAAGCCCTTGACAGAGCGCTGGGATAAAGCTGTGAAAGTGAGCCCAGCTCCTGTCACCACGAGGCCAGGCTGATCCCATCCCCAGCACGGCCCAGCAGGGACACAGCCCCTGTAATGCCATTAGCGGGTGACATAAGCACACAGGAGAGCAGAGAGCTGTGGTGACACTGCCAGCACCCACACAGCACAGCTCACACACTCCCAAGGGCCCTTCACACAGCCCCAGGAGAGGCTGGAAGGGATTTAAATCCCCCCCAGCCCCACCCCAGCCATGGCAGGGACACCTTTCCCTGTCCCAGGGTGTCCCAGCCCCAGTGTCCAGCCTGGCCTTGGGCAGTGCCAGGGATCCAGGGGCAGCCCCAGCTGCTCTGGGCACTGTGCCAGGGCTGCCCACCCTGCCAGGGAGGAATTTCCTCCCAACATCCCATCCAAAACATCTCTTTCAGAGCCAGGGGCAGGCTCCCACATCCACTGGGCCCCACACTTGGAGTGCCTGCTCTTTCTCCACAGGTCAGAGTACATCTGTCATCAAAGCAACGTGAGGACAGACACACCCTGCGCCTCCAATGGCACAAAGTGACAAATGCTTCTGAAGTACTTTGATTTATTTCAAAACAGCACAGACAGAATGGAAGAGTAATCTAGATTAGAAAACTGGTTTTTAAAAATGTTCCCCAAGTCTCCAGCCTCCCCTGCAGTGCAGGGGCACTTCACTAAACCCACCTCTCCTGAAGAATTTGGCTTACCTGCCCAAAAAAATACTGCACACACTGGGTTAAACCCCATTGGGGGGAGTGGAAATGGTGATTTATGTTTTACAAGTGTATCTCACTTCCCAGGACACGTCTGTCTCCACGTGTAAATGCTCTGCAGTGTCAGAAGCAGCAGTGAGATGTGGGGTTGAGTCTGTGCAAGGGAAAAGCAGACACAGCCTGAACACAGGGTTCCTTTTTCACCCAGCACCTTCCCACAGGCAGCACTCTGTGTTTCCACCTCATTCACCAAAAATCCTGCAGAATAAAAGAGCCATTGAATGCCGCAAAGTGGGCAAGGCTTAGTCCAAACTGGGATCAAAAGCAGCATTTCCCTTAGGCCTGGTTTGCCTGTCAAAGCCTCCCCTGAGCAGCTGTGCTGTGCCTGCTGTTTAAATCTAACTGCATTAACACAGGTAACACTGTCCTAACCAACAGCTTAAAGCAAGCCACCAAATCTCCTTAAACATTCCTGATTTTGCCCTATTCTGAAGGCTTCTTCCTCCCAAGTCAGCACATCCCATCAAGATCAATTTATTAAGAATCAAGAAACAATTCAAATCGACTTCTGGCTCTGTTACAGGTTTAAAAAATCCTCTCAAAAATCAACAGGTTCCTCACAGCAGTGCCAGTTTCTCTTTTCCAGGCTGTGCCAGAGGAAAATCCACCAGCACCAGCCACAAGAGCTCAGAGGCTGTACTGGAAGTGCCAAAGGATTCTGCCTACAACCCCTGCAGGAGGCAAAGCCTGCTCAAAGAATTAAAAACAGCCCCGGTTTTGTTTTGAAACAACCTTCTCATGTCTCCTGGCCAGCAGTTTATTGATACAGCAGCCCTGAGGCACAGGGACACCAGTCCCAGCCATCCGAGGGGCACAAACAGCATTTCCAACCCTGCTCAGGACATTTCACAGCGGCTGGGACCAGACTGGCTCACACAGAGAACTTCACACCCGGCTGAGAAACGGGAGCCCTGCGAGCCCAGCTCCTGCTGCAGCCTGCCTTCACCCCACAGCTGCCCTGGAGAAATGTTTCCCCTATAAACAGGAGCAGAGTCCAGCTCCCACCTTCCCGTGACTCCAGGCACAGCATTAGCTGCAATTTCTGAGCTCTCAGGCAAGGCCCCATTGATTTGTGCAGCTCCATTTATTAAAGCATCAGGAAATACCAGGGCTGATGAAAGCCGACGTGACCATTGCATCCAGCACACGGGGAAGGGAGCAACAAATCCCACCCTGGGCAGTCACCAGTGGCTGATGAAAACAGCATCAGCCTCAGATGTTCAACATGTGCTTGCTAATATTAATATTTAAATACTGACAAAGGACTCCATAAGTTGCTTCTACACAAAAGGTCATACAAACTCCAAACGCACCGAGCTTATCGGTGTAATTATGTCTGCAAATCAGCTCAGGATACTGAACTCCCAAACCTGTACTGGACCTCCACTCTTTTAAATATGTTTAATTGCTACGTTCCCAAGTGATAAAGCATTAATACTCCTTTCTACGGAGCCTGAAAATTACAATGCACCTGTAAACAGGCTGCACCACAAATTGCCCGCTGTGTTTCTTCAGCTTCACCCCAAACATCACACAAACAAGCTCTAATTCCAGTTAACTAAATGCAAATGAATCACAAAGAGATTTTTCCAAGAACAAACACATTAGCACGAGCCTGAATAAAGCTTCCTGGAACCAAACATGCTCCAAGGAACAACCCCAGCCAGGCCAGGAATGGCATTGGAATATTACAGTGCTCTGAGTGCCTGGCTGCAGCGCCTGAGGATGCCACAGCAAAGTCACCTCAGGCTGCCCCAGGGAGGAGGGATGGGACAGAACTGCTCCAACAGCAGCAGCAGCACTGGAAAAACTCTGCTGATGGGTCAGGGCACTGGGATCAGCCTGGCTGCCAAACTGATCTGTGTCCTTGCACAGGGCAGAGTCAGGACACGATGCCACAAAAGCCTTGCTCGTGCACAAACTTTCGTGTGCCCCCAGCAGCACCAGCTTCTTCTTCTGTAGATGACCTTGAATCTTTAAAGGGTTAAAATTACCTTATCAAACACCTATTTTTCACTTCACCCCTTCAGTTACTAATGCACATTTGACAGCACACTGGGGCTACAGAGCACAGGTAACATTTATTATTATTTTAACCCCAACAGGAAGGTGCTGTGGATGAATTAGCAAAGCAAGCAGCACACTCCATTCCCCTAACACAGTGGCTCAGCCCAGGAGAGGAGGTGGTACCTGCTCTCTCTGCTGCTGACAGGGCAGAAGAAGATGTTTCATGGTGAACTGGGTCACCCCACCAAGCTCCACTCCTCTCCCAGAGGAAGACTCATCCATTTAACAGAGCTTTCCACAGGGAAAGAAGCGTTGACACAACCTTGAACAAACTCACCTGTCACTAACTCCAGAGCTTGTTCAGATATTCATTTAATAATCACAGCTCATCATACCAGGGCAAGTGCTCAGGTGTCCCTTTGTTCCTTACACAATGGTTTCTGCTAATTACACGGCAGGTTTGGTCTCTCTTAATTAAACAAATGCCAGCACCACTTTTCCCAGAGGAGAAAGGATTGGTAGGAGTTTTCACATGGTTTTGTATTTGTCCATTCCCACCAGGGCAGGTGAGCCCCAGGCAGTGCTGGTGGGATCCCACACCCCGGGGTGCAGCTCCAGCTCTGCTCAGAGCACCACCAGGAATTCCACATTTCCCAGTAACTCCAGGTGCCCCTTCCCTAAATTCCAGGGCTGATCACAAGGGACAGCAAGGCTAAAACCCCACCTGAGGGGATAACACACCTGAGACTGAGCAGAGCCCCTCCCCAGCAGCTTCCCCAGAGTTAGAACAAGAAGCAAGTGCCAGTCAGAGCTCACCACTGAAAGCCCATTTGCTAAGGTCTGACCCAGAGAGAACTTTGTAGAACAAACCAACCTTTCCCCAATCAGCTTCTCAAGAGAGAACAACCAGTATCTCACTGCTGCAGACACAATTCCTAACTCTGCTGGGAAAACACATTTCCTTATCACAACCCAGGTCCCAAACACACATTTATCGTGTCAGGCTGTATTCTGGAATCTCAGAAGCATGGCCAGTGGGAGCTGAGTGGGACTGAGTACATGAATTAAGATCTTTCTTGTAAATGCTGGCAAATGAGGCACTCCTGACCTTCGTGCCCCACATCCAACTTTCCAGCCTGTCCTCCTGCTAGGGACAGGCATTTGTCTCACCATGCAGAGCAGTGAACACCCTGCTCAGATGATTTTCCAAGCACCATCAGCCAGCTGGCGCTGGCAAAACCAGCTAATCCCACTTTCAGGCACAGCATTGTGGATAATCGTGGAATTGGTAATAACTAATGTAGTTTTTACTTTCTGCTGCTTCTCGTGGCTTCACTGATCAGAAATCAGTAATAAAGCTATTCCAAACAGATCCACTTCAGAGGGTACTTAACTGCTACCTTCACCTGGAGTAAAACTTCCAAAAGCAGGCTGGATTGGGTTTCTCTCCTCCCCCCAGGAAATAGCACTGGGTGGGGAGAGGAGAGAGGGATGAAGTTTCTCAAACAGGCAATTCTTGTACACTCCTTTCAAGCGGGATCTCTAAAGCTGCCGCTGGCAGGGTTCCCACCCACTTCCCCTCCTTCCCAGCAGGAGAACAGAGACCCAGCTTCATCCCACCAGCCAACACCCACCCACAGGGATGGATTTGTCCCCCCACAGAGGAGATTAAACTGTTTCTCTATTTGATGAGATGCTGGAGTGAGCACACAAGCAAACTATGTAATAAACAGGGGAAATAAGTTTACTATGGACAAAAAAAAATCCTGTTTTTACAGGATCTTGCTGAAAGCAATTTCCCTTCACATATTTTAGAGTAACTTCAGCTCTCAAAGGTATTAAAACTGCTCAGACCTCCTCTGAAGGGAAGGTTTATTGGAAGTGAAAAATCTCCATGTCTATTCAAAACCAGACACAGGTGCTGTCAGTCTTTGTTTGAATTTAATTATTGGGCTAATCAGAGAATAACAAACAGCTCTGAAGTCCAGGACAACTAATGAACACAGAGCAGTGCCAGCCCACAGATGACAAATCCTCATAGCAGCCTCATGAATCACTGCTGCTCTCCGTGGATCCTGGGCACGGGGATGGGAGCTGTCATCCGCCAGGGAGTTCCGTGTCCACTTGGAGCAGCTCCAGCTCCTCCTCACGAGCTGTTGTTGTCAGCTAAGAGCCTCGGAGCCAAGGCAAAGGCGCAGGAGGATTTCAGAGCCAGCCAGTATCCCAAAGGGTAACTGATAAAAGCCAGAGTCCCACATTCACCTCCCGCTATTCCATGGAGCCAGCAGCGAGCTCAGCAGAGGAACACAGGGATACGCTCAGGATGGATTCCTGGGGAAGCATTTACTGAACAGGCACAATTAAAGATGATTTACCATGATTTCCAAACACGGCTTTCTCCAGTTACAAAAACCTCCTCTCTCAACAAAAGCCATCCGCAGGGATGAATGAAGTAAAAAAAAAAATAAAAAATAAATAAAGACCAAGATAGCCAGTTAAAGCCAGCTAAAACCAGCCTCAATTTCGGACGCTGGACAAGAAGGCACAGACAACCCCACCATCACAAAGGTGCATTTGCAGAGGCTCTGCCTCCCCCAGCTCTGCATTCCAGCCTGGATGATCAGCAATCACAGCTGCACACTCCCCAACCTCTGAGAGCTTTCTGTCCTCTCTCTACCCAAATCCTCCTTCCGTTAACTCCCAGCGCGGGCCCCGCTCCTGCCCTGCACACCGGGGACAAAAAGCGCTCATTTGTGCCGGAGCCAGGCAGCGGCAGCCAGGCACAGGTAACTGCAGTACGGGTAACTGCAGTACAGGTAACTCCTGTACAGGTAACTCCTGTACAGGTAACTGCAGTACAGGTAACTGCAGTACAGGTAACTCCTGTACGGGTAACTCCTGTACGGGTAACTCCTGTACGGGTAACCTGTGTACAGGTAGCTCCTGTACAGGTAACTCCAGTACAGGTAACTGCATTACAGGTAACTGCAGTACAGGTAACCTGTGTACAGGTAACTGCAGTACAGGTAACTGCAGTACGAGTAACCTGTGTACAGGTAACTGCAGTACAGGTAACTGCAGTACAGGTAACTGCAGTACGGGTAACCTGTGTACAGGTAGCTCCAGTACAGGTAACCCCTGTACAGGTAACCCCAGCACGGGTAACCTGCGCACAGGTAACTCCAGTACAGCTAACCCGCATACAGCGCATAGGTAACCCCTGTACAGGTAACCCGCACACAGGTAATCCCTTTACAGCTAACCCCTGTACAGCTAACCCGCGTACAGATAACTCCAGTACAGGTAATCCCTGTACAGGTAACTCCTGTACAGGTAACCCATGTACAGGTAACTCCAGTACAGGTAACCCCTGTACAGGTAACTCCAGTATGGGTAACCTGTGTACAGGTAACTCCTGTACAGGTAACTCCAGTATGGGTAACCCGCGCACAGCTAACCCATGTACAGCTAACCNCAGGGGGCGCTCTGCGGGCGGGGCAGGCGCGCGGCGGGAGCGGCGGCGCTCTGGCCCCGGCCGAGCCCTCAGGGCACCACCGAGAGGGCGGGACTGTGGCTGCTGAGGTACCGCCATAACGACCGGGGAAAGCACCGGGAAAAACACCGGGACAGGTGTACCGGGTGCCACGGAGAGCCCTCCAGGTACAGAGCTCCCGGTGGCTGGGAAGGAAGCTCAGAGCCCTCCCGCTCACCTGCAGCGGGCGATACGAGCCAATGGCCGCCGTGCAAACAGTCCCTGCAACAAACACATCTGTGCACAAAGGGATGAAGAGGTCACACAGCAGAGGCCCGAGCCGGCCATGGGCAGCACTTTAAACAACACAATTAACTCCAGCCTCGGCCTGAGCATGTCCAAGTTTGAGTTCAGTTCTGCTCATCCCAAGGCTTATTTACTGTCCCCTACTCAACCCATTTTCCTCACAGCCCCATCACACTGCACTGATGACAGAAGGTTTTAAAATTTATTTGAGATATATTTAATTACAGCCCATGGGTTGGGTTTAAGACCTTGGTTATTAGAGCTGGAACGGGGCTGTTTGATCAATGGACCTCTAATACAAGCGAGGCTGGAGGTAAATGTCACTGCCCTTTAATCAATCTGAGCAAACGCTGTTCAAACACTTGGGTTACTCTATAGGTGGCCTGTTGAGAAGTGAAGAAAATGGTGCCATTAAATATAAACTCATTTTGTGCACAGCAGGGAGGCTGGGGAGTCCAGAGAGCGCCAAAATGGAAACCTGGGCACTGTGACCCCTCATCCAGCAGGAATTAATCCCAGATTTGGGCTCTCTGGAGACACACTGCTTATGTCTCAAACAACGATTAAAGGTTGTGGTGTTTTCTCCCTGAAGAGCCATGTTTTGGGCAGCACCTCTCCTTTCATTCCCCCATGGAAACCTCCACTCTGCCAGGCACCAACAGAACTCCAGCACCTCCTGGAGCAGAAGCCACAGCTCCAGACACCCCTCAGCAAATGTTTACCAAAAGTTTCAGCTTTACTTTACTTATTTACAAAATATCACATTTTCAGGACCAAGCTAACACCAGTAGCTTTCCCCTTTCCCACCAAATCTCTGCTGTCTAAAGGAAGCTCCTTCTGAGTCATTCCGCTACGAGGGAAAGCACAAGCTTAAAAATAACTCCTTGCTCTGGAGTCAGTGCCGAGAAGCTGCACGGAGCAGTTCCAAGTGCTCGGCCAATTCCAGCGCTGTCCCCTGATAATCACACACATCCAGGAGTTTGTCCCAGCCAGCTCTGCTCTGTGAGGGCTCAGCTGGTGCTGCGCTGAGAGGATGGCATCCAGCCCTGTGATCCAGCTGGATTCCCGGGGGAAAGGCTCTTGCTGGCCAGCTCTGTGCTTCAGCCAGAGCAGCTGGAGCTGCCCATTTTCCCCTGCTGTCAAAGCAGGAAGTTCCCTATCTGAACACCATCTCCCAGGCCGATGTGTCAGCACCAGAACATGATGTTTCATGTTGAATTACTGGAGCCTGACTTGTCAGTGTGAGTGGCAGCCCCAGGAGCCCAGCTAACCAACCTCACCTCACAGTCCCCAGGCCAGGCCGGGCCGCTCCAGTGCAGTCCGGGCAGATTCCACGTCTGGTCCTTCCCTGGCCACACTGCCAGGACTATTCCCTCATTCTGGACACTTCTACAGCATTTTTCTCCAGACTCCTCACTTTGCTCTTCAAATTAATTCAGGCTGCTGCTGTTAAGATTCTTGGCATGTAGTTCCCACTTCATCACCCCTCTGCATGTCCCATCCCCTCTAGATGATTAGCTAGGTGATGTATCATGGAGTCATAAAATTCTGGAGTGCTCTGGGCTGGAAGGGACCTTAAAGGGCATCCAGTTCCAGCCCCTGCCATGGGCAGGGGCAGCTTCCACAGACCAGGTTGCTCCAAGCCTCGTTTTTGTTTCTGGCCCCTGATTCTGTTTCACTCTTGCCATCACTCCATTCCTGGTTCTTGGCTCCTATCCCTCATTGTCTGGCCAGACATTCTCCCAGCTCTCTTGGAAGTGAGACGAGCCGGGACAAGCCAGCCTGCTGTGGTTTGTGTTCCCGGTGTGTGGGCACCAAGAGCAGAGCACAACCCGAGGCTGGTGAGATAAGGTCACTTCATGCTTTCCAAACAGAAATCTGGAGCTCCTGCTGGAGACTTGTTCCCCGCTCTCCCCAGCCCCGTGGTTTCTCTGCCTGTGATTTTACCCCCAAAGCGCAGGTTTCCTCGGAGCGGTGGCTGACACTGCACATCTCTGTGCCTGACTCAGGGCTGGTGGATGCCGTGCCTCAGCAGTTCCGTGAGCAGGGAAGCCGTGTCCGCCGGGAGCTGCCTGCGCTGACACACACTCAGTGCCATCCCAGTGACCGGGGCTGGCGTCTGAGCTCAGCGAGCAGCTCATGCAGCTCCCAAACCATCGCCCTGTGTCTGCTCAAACGGCTCATTTTTGTGACAACCTTCGCTTACAGCAGCACAACAAAGGGGAGATTTAGCCCGACAATGTTTGCCTGATAAGTGCCGAGTTAATGGCACACGAAATGTGCTGGCTGGTCCGCTGCAAGCCTGGGATCTAATTAATCTCTGGCAAGTCCCCCTGAAATAGAAGCAGTGTTGGCCTGCACATGTAGCAGTCGAGACCAACTAATTGGAGCCAAACCGTACAGCCAGGCAGGAGGAAGGAATTGCTGCAGCACGGTGGGATTTCTAGAGTTATGGTGCCAGAGCCTGGGTTTCTGCTCCAGTGGAAGAGCATTTGTGCCATTCTCTTACCCCAGCCAGAACTCAGAGAGCTTTTGGATCAGTCACAAAAGCACAGAGCTAGGTGGTCACACACTCCACAAAATGGGGTGGTAGCGACTCTCTGAGAGGGTGAGGCCCATATCCATAGGGATGTGACTCCAGGACCTCCACCTGTGCTCAGTGACACCTTCCTGCAGCCCCACAGGAGCTGGGGAGCCCCCTCTGCACAAGCCATGGCAACATCTGTCCCCAAAAAGAGGCTCAGCAAGCTCTGGTTCTCAGCAGTTTCATACGACAGAGAAGCAGATCACTGTGAATATATTCCACTTCTCCACGGGGTTCATTTATCAATCCATTTGTAACAGGACATAAAAATCAAACCCCAGCATGACTGAAAGGGAAACACGCTCTTGGCTTTCTATTTCCACCTGGGTCATTAAATTACCCAGCCACCTCCTGCATCACTTGCTGCCTTAATCATCTGGATAAATTAATCCCCATGCCAGACACACATGGAGGAGGATATAATTTTATCTCCCTCTGCTCCTGAGCCCAGGAAGAGTCCCAGTCTCCAGTGCAAGGATAGAGCAGGGCCATGCTGCCAGTGTCCCCAGCAGGAGCCAGGTGTCCCAGGGTGGCACCAGGAGCACACACACGGTCACTGCCGGGCCCAGCAGCCTCCACAGCCTGGCTGACCCCCACCTTCCCCAGGAGCTGCAGCCAGGTGTGCACAAACCTGCACTGCTGCATGGGGAGGGGACATGGCCCCAGGGACCTACAGACAAGCAGAGGGAAGGTTTAACAACCCATAGCCAAAGCAAAACAGTGTTCAAGCTCTGGAGAATCACGGAATTATGGAATTGTTAAGGCTGGAAAAGACCTCTAAGTTCATCAAGTCCAGATGTCAATCATGGAACACCAGCGTGCTCAGCACTAAACTTTGTCCTCGAATGTCATATCCATGTGGTTTTTTGAACACTTCCAGGGATGATGACTTCACCACTTCCCTGGGCAGCCTCTTCCAAAGCTTGATAACTCTTTCAGTGAAGAAATTTTTCAAAATATCCAACCTAAACCTCCACTGGCACAACCTGAGGCTGTTTACCCTTATCCTGTGGGTTGTTCCCCGGGAGAAGAGCTCGATGCCACATCACTACGACCTCCTTTCTTCTTGCTCCTTTCACCCCCATCTTGTCCTGGGTTCCCAGAAAGGGAGGAGGAAGGGAACGTGTTTAGACGGCAACCTGCGCTCGGCAGTGTTTGCACACTGAGCTCTGAGCCCGCCTGGCCCGAGGCCGAGCTCGGGAAAAACAAAGCGCGTGCCAACCTCTCGGGAGCCAAGCGCGACGAGCGCCCGGTGCCAACTTGGCTGCTCTCCCTCGCTCCTCGCGGCTACTCCAGAGCAGAGCCCGACAGGCACAGGGAACGCTCGCCCTGTGCACGGAGCCGTGCCCAGACCCAGCGCCAGACCGTGCCTGGCAGGAGCTCCTGGAGAAGCGCGCTGTGCGGGCAGCGCTGGCAATGGGAACAGGTGGGAAACGGCTTCCCAAAGCTGTACGTCAGGTCAGAAGTGGGTGTAGAAACCAGGGTTGCTGCCTGCTGCCGGGAGAGCCAACAGAACAGATTGTCCTGTGGATTCATTACGGATTAAAACACATCCCAAAAGAGGAAAACGCCCCAAAGGAAGGGAATCTGTTTTGGCAGCAAAGGAGGGTAAAGTTCAGACTGTGGATGAAGACTGAAAACAACTCCTCAGCTTTTTCCCACTCACACGTGCTTTCAGGGGAGTGGTGAATTTAATTTTCTTGACTGAAGTAAACTCTTGTTCCAGATGCCAGCAGAAAGTTTTGGAATGTCACTGGGTAAGGTGTGCAGTGAAGGCATCTTTTCTTGGAGCTCCAAGCCTTGCTGAGCACATCAGCTGCTGAGAGAAAGCAAATTCACTGTCAGAGAAGTGGAATTGTGCTGAGGCACGGAGAGACAGCCAGCAAAGCCCTGTTCACTGTGGTCACAGTATCTGTGTGATAAATGCTGTTAATTAAGCAGCACATTCCAGCAAGTTCGAGTTCCCAAGTGAGTGAAGTTCCGCACAGACTGAGCTGTGCCACATGTGCTCTGGTTGTAGAATCAGAAACAGAAGTGGGTGCAAGGGACATACCAAAAACTTCTCACATCCCCATCAGGACATCGTTGCCAACAGGTTCTGGTTCCCCTCACCACAGACAGAAGTGAGGTTTGCTTGGTGTATCAGCACGAGCAGGCAGGCTTTCAATGGGACTGTGGAACACGGGAGCAGAAGCAAAAGGGACCTCGGATCAGGGCTCCTGGGGCTGCACCAAGGGACAGAGCTATGAAACCCTGATCTCCCCTGGACTGGCTTGACCCCTGAGATAAAGCCTTACCCTGGACTATGGTAAATGGGAGGACAGACAAACAGCAGGCATAAGGAGAAGTGATAAGGAGCCAAAAGAATGTAAAGATCAAAAGGAACTTAAGCAGAGCTGAACGCCTTCCTGCACAGAGCAGTCTGGCCAGGGAGTGACCACGCTGCAGTTTAACTGTTTCATTTGCAGCAAAAGAGAGAGAAAAATGGGACTCTGTGGCAGCAGAGTGTGTGAATCCATCAGAGCACTGGCAGAGCAGACAGTTCTTCAGGGAGACAATGCTCTAGCTGTGGGGAGCCAGCCCAGCTCAGGGAAATGCATCTCAAATAGCTGCTGTCATCAGCACATCTTCCTCCATCCTCATGGATGGGCTGGCCGGCTGCACTGGAAACCAGAGCTCCCAGGCAACCACAGCGCACTTTCCAAAGCTTTAGAGTCAGTAGCAAAGGCAAAGCTCTTCCTAAGCTTCTTACTCTTGTGTGTGTGTGATGTCTGGGGTTGGACCATCATCAGCTCGGAGCCTTGTTTGAGCTCAAATGGATCAACAGTGAAACCGGAGCCTCGTGACCTTCAGTAGCTCCCTCACCCTCTGTTCCCTCCTTGGCAACTCCTGTCAGCACCGGAGAGATCCTGGATTCATTTTAGGGTGATGAGGAGCAAAGCAAGCAGGGTCCCAGGTTAGCAACCATCCAGGCATGCAGGATTTGCAGTGTAATAATAGCAACCCCAGCGTCTCCCACAGTAATCCCAACCAGCAGCGTCTCCTGAAGCCGCAGAAACCCCACACAGCTCCCCGAGCCTCACAAATTAGCTCCATTATCTTGGCCGTGCCTTCCCTGCTCCCCATCTGCTCTGAGCAGTGGGAAACCAGCAGGGTTTGAACTCCTGCCTGCTCAGAACCTGCAGCAGCCAAAGCAGCCTGGGCTCACAGAGCGGAGAGAGGCTGGGGCATGAACAGCCCCTGGCACAGGAGAACAGGGAGACCTGAGGCTGGCCCACGACTGTCACTCGCACCAGGTACTGCACCCCCGGCTTCACGGTGCTCCTGCAAGGTAAATCCCGTGGCTGCTGGTGCTGCTCGCTCTCGGATGCTGGCCGATGGCAAACGGGGGCTGAATTTTCTGTGAATGGGATTCGTTCTGGAAAGGAGCTTCGGCTCCCGCTAGGCAGCAATCTGCACACAAATCCGGGAGCTGGTCTCGCTGTGGAGCACAGGCCTCGGCCCTTGGAGCAGCCCTGGAAGAAGGGGCAGGCACACTGTGTCCTAATTCCACTGGCACCCCACAGCCCGCTGGACAAAGCCGCGAGGCTGCCCGAAATACCTGCTGGATGGGTTCGGCAGCTGGGAAACCTGAGCCGGCTCCCTGCCGATCTGTGCTGCCCGAGCTATTCAGGGATGGCTTTTCTCAAAGTCTTGGCATTTCAAGAGAAGGGAAAAAATACCCGTGGGCAGAGCACCCAAACAGCCTGGGAACCTGTCCGGGAGTGCTGTGCCCTTTGTCCCGACATCAGCCCCTCCAGCACCCCGGGATGGTGTCTGCTGTGGGGCATCCCACCTGGGATCCACCTGGGAATGCTTCCCTGGCTGCACAGGCAGCTCCTGCTCCTCTCTTCAGGGTTTCTTTCAGCTGGTGAGAGTCCAGCCCTGCTAAAGAGTGTCAGTGCCCATCGCCCTTGGATTCCATTGTTTGAACACTCTGCTCTGTCTCTCAAGTGCCATGAGCAATCTGCAAACTCCATGGAGAAAATAACCTCTGACCTGCTACAGGGAAGCTTTCCCACTCAAATTCCACTTCACATCCAGCCTGGGATGCGTTCCAGAGTGGTCTCTACCGCAAGAGCCTCTCGAACAACCTGCTGTATGTAGAGATCACAGCGTGTGTGATTGCACAGCTTCGCTCCCTCTCCATCCCCTGCAGGGCCCGGCAGCCCTCCAAGAGTGTGCAAGTGGGGGAAGAGGCACAGCTAAATCCAAACCAGTTCCAGTTCTGCTGGACTGGGATGAACTCTGCCCTAGGGGTTTCCCCTGTGCCTCAGCTCCACATCCTCCTGCATTTCCAGCTCAGATGAGAACACAGGATCACAGAATCCCAGACTGGTTTGGGTTGGAAGGGATCTTAAAGCTGTGTGAAGTCATTCCCCCTTGTCCCGTACCTCCAGGCCCTTGTTCCAAGTCCCTCTCCAGGGACTTTCAGAGTCCCCTCATCTGCCCAGCCTGGGTGTGTCCCCTGCAGCCCCACTGGGTCACCGCCTGTCGTGCCCCCTGTCCCTGGCAGTGCAGTGCCAGGAGCAGCGTGGCTGGGATGTTTGTGCTCACACTAATGAGCTGCTGCTTTGCTGTGCCCTCAGCGCAGCGTTCCAGGCCGCTGCACACTCCATGTGCCGGTTCCAGCTGCTCTGCGCTTGGACATTCTGGTGTTTGCAGCGAGGAGGGAAAGAAAATGGCTTGTATTTTAAATAACAGCTTAAATCCTGGAGCTTGAGACCCAAACTTTGGGGAGGACAGCCTGTTGCCAAGCCACCCTAATCCCAGCCTTTTCCTTCTCTTTGTTTAGCATTCCTCTAATGGAATTTGGACTACAGCTAATGCTGATTAACATTTCCATGTTCGTTATTTCACATAATCTCTTCTCCAGCTGTGGCAGAGCCTGGAAACACACCATTTATCCTTGTTCAGTCTCTGCTTCCCAAGCTCATCCCAGCCAGACCCCTGGGACTGAAAGGCTACTCTGTTCAGCTGCCTCTAACATGGATTAATTCCCAAATGCAGGAATGCCGTCCTTTCCCTCTAAACCTGCACCTGGATAACAAGACTGAGGTGGGAACAGGGCAGCTTGGGAGGCAGCAGCACAGACACCACAGAGCTGGACAGTTCCGTGATGGAGCACTGGTAACAGCCAGCCCAGAAATAATCCAGCTAATTTTACACCTGCACTCATTCTTCCCTGCGGGGATTCAGCGCCAGAGACCAGTGCCTAAAATTAGAGCAGGTTACAGACGCGATCCTTAGCTTGTTAAAAGTAGAAACATGCCGATGGATGCTCTCATCCCACCGCCCCAGCCGCTTTCCTCTCGGGCCGGGGACAAAGCAGACACTCCTGGGGCACCTCCTGGCTGTGCCTGCGGGGCTCGGCTCGGGGCAGCCACACACGAGAGCAGGAGGTGCCCGGGCTCTGCAGGTCAGCCACCCAAACTTCAGTCACCGCTGTCACCGCTGTCCCAGCCGGCCGTGCCGGGCAGACCCACCGTGCTCCCACCCCAGCTCCAGCTCCAGCTCCAGCCAGGGCCGCTCTCCTGCAGCCTCCAGAACTGCTCTGGGCTCGGGGGTGCAGGAGCTGAGCATGGAGCAGAGGTGACAGGGTCCCCAAAACAACCACTGACACCTCTCCATCCTACTGCACCTTCTCCTTCCAGCACCAGCCTGCTCCACCAGCCCTCACCTCCATCTGCCTCGGTTTTCCCTGCTCCTGGAGTACTGATCCCATCTCCTCACAGGGCTGGCTGAGGCACCAGTTTGGGATTATTCTGGCAGAACTGTGTTTTCCCCTCGTTAAAAAAAAAAATAAATAAAAACTCCCTTTTGGTGACACACCAGTTGTTAATAAAACTTATTTTTTCTCTATCATTAATTCTCCAAGGGTGAAGAAAAATATCATGGATACTGTGACTGCATCTGTTTGCACGATATAATCGACGCCCACTGTGATGTTGACTTTATGGAGGGACCAGCGTTTTCTTTGCCCAGACCTGCGGGCAGGTGAGGCAGCAGCTGCCGCACAGGTTCAGCTGGGGCAACGACACTTGGAGCAAATCACGGGGAACAGCTTTGCTGGGAAACTCCGAGAGACAAAGGATCACGAGGAGCTCCTCCCCGGCCGCTCCCAAGCGCTAATTGCTGAGCCGCTGGACCAAGAAGCACGCGAGGAAGGACAGTAATTATCCCTCCTCCTCCTCCTCGGAGCATCACCTCCACCTGCGGCCGGCTTCCAGCGCAGCCTTGGGGGTGTCGGGGCCAGGGCTCCCCGCACAGGTTTGGGTGTGGTGGCGATACCTGCCCTGGGCTGGGCTGGGCTGGGCTGGCAGCGGCAGGAGGAGCTCGGCCAGCCCTGCATTCCTCGCTCCCGGCATCTCTCAAGTGCTGAGCAACCCAGGGAGGGAACAGGGAGAACCCGCACAGCCCGGTCCCTGCCGTGCAGCTCTCCTGCTCTGCCCCGCTGTCCCTCGGATGCCAGCGGGCACTGGAGCAGCGGTGCTGGGGAGGGCACAGGGACCGGGACATCCGGGGAGGGCACAGGGACCAGGACATTCTCTCAATGCAGGGAGGGCACAGGGACCAGGACATTCTCTCAATGCAGGGAGGGCACAGGGACCGGGACATGCTCTCAGTCCGGGGAGGGCACAGGGACCGGGACATGCTCTCAGTCCGGGGAGGGCACAGGGACCGGGACATGCTCTCAGTCCGGGCAGGGCACAGGGACCGGGACATGCTCTCAGTCCGGGGAGGGCACAGCTGTTTTGGTGACAGCTCGGAGCCCCAGCCCTGCTAATGCCAGCGTGCCTGTGGGACTCGCGGGGATGATGCTGATCCCGTTTCCATGGAGAGCGCGATAGAGTTCGGAGGAGATGGAGAGGGGTGGGATCAGTGCGATTCCGAGCACTGGGGCCCTGCATAACCAACCCCTGCTGTTTTATAGGGGAAGGGACGCCGCTTTCCACTCCGCACCCAGTTCAGAAACAAAAGCAGCGATTGTCCGGCTGAGAGCGCCTCCGCCGCTCCGCAGGGACCGTGTCCCATCCCGGCCGCTGGAAAAGCGCTGTCCCCGTTCCTCGGGCTGTGCCCGGGGCTGTCGCAGCGCCGGGAGCCAGGGCAGGTGCTCGGTGTCCCGGGAAGGGCTCCCCGGTTCAGGTGTGCCCGCACCGGGGATTCGTGCTCAGGTTTGTGTTTCCCGGCTCCATTAGCTGGCCTAACGAGGTAATGACACCCCTGTCCGGCCCTGGCCTTTCCCAGGTCACCGAGCTGCTTTAAAGGCTGTTTTAGAGAATAAACTAATTAGCCAGCAGCGTTCACTGCTGTGTTTAACAACCCCTCAGTGCCTATTACAGGTGAGAGCAGCGGCTGAGCCACAGCTGCTCCTGCCAAGGACAGGGAGTGGATCCCATGGGACTCCCACCCTCTCACACTGCCAGTGGGTGCTGCCTGGCCAAGGCCTTCCAGACCCTGCAGCAGTTGGTGAAGCCACGGGAACACCATGGGAATTAAACCTAACTGTGCCACCCAGCAGCAGGGTCCTCAAGGGGACACACGGCTCCTGGCAGCCCCTGGCACCCCCTGCTCATGGCCCAGGGCAGCTGCAGAAAGCTGCTTTGCTCCAGGGAAGCCGATTACAGCTCCCTGACACCCAGGAGGGCCACACAGGCACCAGAACCCACGGTGGGGCTGGAGGCTTGGGTGCCACCTTTGCTCCGGGGGCACCAGCAGGTCCTTGGGGTGAGGGGCCAGGGGATCATCAGGCAGTGCTCCCTGCATCTCTCCACCCTTCATCCCATCAATGCCAGTTAATAATTAACAGGAGAGAGCAGGGCCAGGCCTTGGCACGATGCCGCTGTGGCATTAAAGCGTGTGGAAAGCCCGGTGAGCCTGTGCCTATTGCAGGTAACAGGAGCCCCACGGAGCCTTAATGGGCTTTGGGACCCGTTAGCTCCTTATCCCCAGCAATAAGCTCCTTATCTCTGCTCCAGAACCCCCCGCAGCTCCCACAGCCCCGGCTCCTTCACCTGGGCCGTGTCAGGGCTGAGCCCCTCACCCTGAGCCAGCCCCACGGTGCCACGTGTGCTCAGCCAGCATACACAGCACCCCGAGGCTCACGCAGGACACAGACAGGTGAGGGGACACTCACCTGTGAGGCTGCCATGGCTGAGCTGGGGCAGCGCTCCCTGCCCCGCTCTGTCCCGCGGAGCCCCGGCACAGCCCGGCACAGGGACCGGCCCTGGGATCGCATCTGGCACAGGCAGGCTGGAAAGGACAGCAGGAAAACAGGGCAAGGATGGGCCCGGCCCTCGGCACAGGAAACCACCCTCACGCTGGAGCAAAGGAAGGAAAAAGGCGAAGCAGAGTGTGGGGCAGGATGTACGGCTGGAACGCCGGGAATGGCACAGCTGGAACGCCGGGAATGGCACAGCTGGAACATCGGGAATGGCACAGCTGGAACATCGGGAATGACACAGCTGGAACATTGGGAATGGCATAGCTGGAACACTGAGGATGGCACAGCTGGAACATCAGGAATGGCACAGCTGGAACATCGGGAATGACACAGCTGGAACATTGGGAATGGCACAGCTGGAACACCGGGAATGGCACAGCTGGAACATTGGGAATGGCACAGCTGGAACACTGGGAATGGCACAGCTGGAACACTGAGGACAGCACGGTCCCACCCTCCCACCAAGGTCAGCTCAACAGGGACAGTTCATCACTGCTCCTCACGGTGATGATTCCTCACAATCATTTTCCATGTGAAAAGCACTTTTCCAGGAGGGATCTCAGCCAGCTGAGCTCCCCCGGGCTGTCACAGGGTGCTGTGCCAGGGACTCCACTTCCAAGAGCCTCTCTTCCTGGGCACAGGGCTTGGCCTCCAGCAGTCCATCCTGGCAAAGATTTCATTTCCTGCTCTACAAACCCCTCAGCTCCTCCAGGGGGTACAGCCCTGACTGAGGAACCACAATCCTGAGCACACCCAGCCTCCGTGGGGTACCAAGGAAGCCAAGGATTCCTGCCTCAGGCCAGCCTGCAAGAACTCACCCTTTCCTGGAAGAGCTGGAAAGAGCAGAGGCTCCCAGCTTGGAGGGGCAATAAAGCACCAGGTGTCCTCTCCCTGGGAACCTTGGTTTGGCAGTAGGAGCCCAGGGACCTTCCCACATAAAACAGAATCACCAGAAGCTCCCAACAGCCTTGGTACAAACCCTGTTCTGTGAGCACTGAGTGAACACAAGGCCGTTCTCACTCTTGGGGTAGTTGGCAAAGGATAAATCCATTGTTCAGACTGGAACATGATCCTGGCTCCGGGTAATGGCCAGGATAAATAATGAGAAGTGGCTAATTAACAATGCTGAGGCCGGCAGGCAGTGATTGGAACAGCACCAGGAGCCAGAGGAGCACCCACCTTCCCACACGGCTCCAGCCCAGAGCTGGGCAGGGAACCCACAGTGCCCCTTCCCTACTCCCTGCCTGCCCTGGACAGAATTCCGAGTGGGAACCCACCTTGGGAGTGCCTCAGTTTCCATGGCAACTTCCCCTCAGCCCATTGCTCAATGTTGTTCTTTTTCCATGTAACAGCACATCCTGCTGCTTTTTCAAACAGCTCCTTATCCAACCGGCCCATCCCAGCGCCAGCAGCTCTGCAGGCTGTGCTCAGCCCAGGAGGGCACAGGGCAGGGTGGGACACGACCCTGCTGGATTCCTGGCCAGGGAATGTGCAGCCTAGCCCGTGCTGGGGACAGTGTGGGACCCTCCTGCCCCTCAGCCCCCGCAGGAAAGGCTCAGTCCCAGCCCAGCTGCACCTGGGCCAGGATGGCTCCCAGCTCCCCGGCCACTGTGGCTTCCTGCAGCGACATCTGTGATTAAAAGCTGGTATTTTGCCTGCAAACAGCAGCTACTCAGAGCCAAGTCACGCAATGCCTTTGAGAGATCCAAACCCCTCATTGCCTTGATCAGCCTGGCCAGGACACTCACACAGCAGTGCCTGATGCAAACACAAACATCAGAAACCACAAACATCAGAAACCACATCTGAAATTAAAAAAAGTTTATTTGCAGATCTGTAAAACAGCCCTGCGAAAGACCAACATTTCCAAACACTACGAGATGAGAATGCATTTTCCTATCATTAGAATATAAAAAAACAGTCACAGTCCTTCAACTACCCCATGAAAAGCAGACATTTATGAACCAAACATTGAACTTCCAACATCAAAAAGTCACTGGGGTGAGTGAGACAGTCAATAGCACCAGCACAGGTGACACAGGCCTCGTGGCTCTGTCATAACTATGGAATAAAGCAGGTTAGCGAGGCCAAGCCTCTGGGAAGAGCAGCCCTACGAGCACTGAGTTCAGACAATGACACACCAGAACACATTCCTTTACATCCCAGCGATGCAAACACCAAGCCAGAAACACCACAGAGCTCCAGGGAGCTCCGAGCTTCCACTTCAGGACAAGGAATTCCACAGGAGAAATCTTCTGGACTTATGTGGCAGTTCCATTTCACACACACAACTTTATTCACTTCATGTTTGCAGGAGCTGTGTGACGGGGAGGCGAAGGACAGGATGCAGAAGTGGACAGTGGTGCAGGATCCAAGCCTGGCTCCATGGAAAAGCGGGATTACACCGCTTTCCTGTGGTACTCCGGAGGGGCCACCTCATAGTCACTGGCACTGAACAGTGCAGAGGAATTCTTTGCTAAATATCTACAAAAACATAAAAACGTTAGATGGCCTCCTGCCCAAACCCTCTGCTGCTCAGTGAGTCTGTGGATCAGGGGGTGTTTGCCCAGACACACCGCAGGCTTTGAGAATCACTGGCCCCACACACAGCTGCTCACGTCAGCTCTGCCAAGCACTCCAGCCAAAAAATCCCTTCCCAACGAGCTGCCAGGCACCTCTGGCTGCAGGTGAGCTCTGGCAGCTCAGGATGAACAGGGGGAAGCCCTTGGTGCCTGAAATCTTGTACCAAGAGCGATACCAGGAAGCTCTGCACAAACAGAGACCATCAAGGGTGGCAAAACAAGGAATGGCCAGAGGTAAGGGTTGTGTGCCATTAATTCTCATGCAATGGGTTCAGGATTTCTGGTCACTGGGCTCACATTTCTGCCTCACAGCCAGAGCTCTTCAGCACCTGCAGTGACCTCAGCCTGCCCCAAAAGAACAGGGCTATCCCAGGGCAGGATTTCCCCAGCTCCCAGGCTGATTCCTGTCAAGCCCTGCTGCAGAGCCGTCCTGGATTTACTGAGGGTTTGCTTTCAGCTCCCAATAGCTCCTAATCATGCAATGATTTGGGTTGGAAGGGACCTTAAAGCTCACCTCATTTCACATTGAAGTGTTTTATTATTATCAGGATGTTTTCCTCCTAACCATCCCACGGCTACAGGGCACACTAAAGCCCCAGTGACAAAGTCTGTCCCAGAAATAACATTCCTAAAGTTCATCAGTTTTTAAACATTTGCTCAGTTGTTGTTGACTAACTGTTGTGTAATTTAATAGCTTGCTGGAATTATCATCTGCTTTTTTTAGCAGCTATAAATAAAAGCTGAAGCACTTCTTTTGCACGGAGGAGCAGATGGGACAGGGTAGGAGTGCAGATTAATGCAGCCAGGGCTGTGGAGTCTGAGAGGCTTCAGTGCAGCTGTGGGCAGGATCCCACACACAGGCCCCAGTGAGACAACAATTCACTGAAAGGGGCAGCATCACAGCAGCCTGAGCTCCCTGACCTTCCTCTTTCTTGCTGGAAGACCTCACAAGTACTCACTTCAAGAAGTCATGCAAGTAGTTCAAGAGCAAAGCCAGGCTCTTCTCATCCAGGGGCGTGTAGGCCAGCATGGCCCCGATCCGCACTGCTCGAGGGAAGGACACTTGTCACAAGCACTGCTTCAAGCCCTTGTGTGAGTCCACTTCACAGAAAAGCAGCCCAGGAATCTATTCCAATATCCACAGTTTCACCCAAACCAACCAGAACTGAAATATTCCTTTCCAGCCCAAACCCCTCAACGGCTCTGAGCCTTTTGGATACACGGAGAGGGAACGGACCCACACTTTAGAGCTGCCTGTCACAGGCAGAGAGAGGGAAATTAGCACTTGAACCCTTCCCAGAGCTCTTCACCCCCCTGCTGGCACTCACCAAAGAGCCTCAGGAGGTGTGGGGCCCCGTAGACCTGGGACATGGGAGCATCCGGGTGATCCGCCAGGATCTCGGCGTACTGGGGCCTCTCGAACTTGTACAGCAGCTGAGTGCCCAGCATGACATTGAAATACTCCTTGATCCCAGCCACCACCTCGTTGACAGCGTATTCCCTGGGGACAGAGAGCTCTGCAAGGCCTGCTCCAGGGCCAGGCTGGCCTTGGGGACACCACCAAAATCGGGAGGGCCTTTCACAGGCATTCACATCTCACATGGAAATTTGTCTGGAGACCTTAAACTCCACAGCCCCAGGGAGGGATGCAATTCCAGACCTCCCTGTTGTGAAGTGAGCCAGGATTTAGGCAAACCAAGAGCGGCAGTTCTCAGTCATCCTCTCCAAGAGACAGACCTGGAGCAGCCCTTCTGATGGCACAGGCAGCACTGGGGACATGCAGAGCTTCCTGCTGTCACCCAGAGCTCACCCCAGCTTCAAAGGACAGCACTGGGTTAACTGCACCCAACGGGGGGACAGCCCCTTGTATTCCAGGCACCTGCTCCCTTCCTCCCAGGCCTCTCCTGCCAGGTTCCTGCAGGCCTCCAACCTCACCCTGCCTGGTCAGGAGCTGGCAGTGACAGGAGCACAACCCTCACCACACCCTGCCAACAAATTTACAACAGGCATCAGGACAATTACATCAGAGGAGGTTAAAACACCCTGACAAGTCAATAATCTGCTTCCTCCTGAATGGAAGAAAATTACTTCCCCTTTCTGTTCTCCCTTTCAAACAGGAAAGTTCCCTGCAGAGTAAACACACCTTGTTTTGCTCAGGGCTGATTGCTGGGGTAATTACAAACAATAATTAGCTTTGCCCATCTGAGTATTTACAAGTCCTCTGCACCTCCCTGGCCCTGTGAGGGAGCCCAGGGGCACTGAGCACACCCCACACAGCTTTTCTGGGAAGTTTCTACCAGCTTCCTTCAGGAAAAGGCTTGGGGCAAGTGGGGAAGCAGAAATCCTATCCAGAAAAAGAGAAGTGCAGTTTGGAATTGCTCCCTCAGGATTTCTGAACACCTCCATCACCTTGGGCTTGGAACAGGGCACTGGACACGGGGCTGGGTCAGTTTTCACACCCTTATTCCCTTTTCCATGGAATCCCAGCCCAACAACAGCAGCCAAGGAGGGGTTTGAGGCTGGCAGTGAACACTACTCACTTGTTATCAGTATTTCCTCGGGATTTTTTGTAGTTTGCATAATCCTCTAAAATGGAGTCCACATTCTTCTTGGCAGGGAGGTAGAAGAGCTACAAATGCAAAATGAAACAAATACAAGTTTGTCTCATTCCAGCAGACATTTACACCTGGGAGCTGAACCTTTCTCACCAGGACATTTCTAGGATGAAATCAGCAGGATAAGGTGGTACAGGTTGGGAAAGAAACTCCTCCAGGAGTTTACCTGGGCATTAAAAAAACCCAACCATGCTGGACAAGCTGGGGCAGTGGAAGGTGTCCCCCAGAGCTGGGCAGGATTTCCACAGGTACCTGTTTCTGCCTGGTGATCAAATCCCAGTCATCCACCAGCCATGGCTTCAGCTCCTCGGGGATCTTCACCTTCACTTCAACTCTGTTCATAAACGTCTCCTCCTGAGAAAAGCCAAGCCAGGCTAATTACTCTCAGGTACTAATTGGGAGCACAACACTCTGTTTTCCACCCCAAAATCCCTGGGAGGGAGTGGAAAATACTCACACTTTCAACTGTTGGATCCACCCGAGCCCTCTTCTTCCTGGGAGGCTGGGGAGTCTCGCTGGTGCTGCTGCCCTCCCCAATGCCTGGAGCTGTGCACAGCACACACAGCAGCAGGGAAAAACAGCAGGCAAGATTTAGGAGGAGGATTTCAAAGTAAGGCTCAGATTTTTCTCAGGTCACCTTTGCACCTGTTGGGGTTTGTTTGTTTTTTTTTTTTGTTTTAAATATTACTTGTGTTCTGGGAGTCCCCTGTTTGTGCCAGTTGGAACTGCTGCACTGGCACTCATCTGAGGGAGGTTTCTGCACTAGCACCACACCAGTCTGTCACATTTTTGGGGAGGATTTTTGGGACCCAGCAGCTCAGCTCTGCACCTGTGTCACATCTCCATCTCAGTAACAAAACCTAAGTTTGACTTTGGAAATTATTTCAGCAGATCAGCTTTGCTTTCCAAACGCAAGAGCTCAAAATCCTGACAGACTAAAACAAGTAGATTTTGTACCAACCAGGAAAGTGTGAACCTCCCTGAGCAGGGAGAGCCCCAGGAGGGACAGCACAAGCTGCCAGTGAATCACTGGGGCAGGCTGAAGGTTTTATTTCAGCTACAAATCCCTCACTAGAGAGACCCACTCAGATGCAAAATAAAACACACTTACTTTTCTGCTTGTTCTTTTTTGTTTTCCTGCAAGAAGAACACAAATTATTGCACATGTCAAGAGAGTGGTACTTAAGGAAGCCACAGCAGAAAGCCAGAAAATGTTTCAAGCCTTCAGGGAGCAGATCCTCAGGGCCTGGGCAGTGTTTGGCTGAGGACACAGAGGAAACACAAGCTGTAACTTGGCTCCAGAGCTATGGTACCACGAGATTCCTCATGGAATAAGAATGGTTAGAATTCACCATTTTTGGCAAGTTTTGTCCTTCCCAAGTGCTCTTGGAGAGCTACGTGAGGTTTGCAGCTGTTTTATTTCAGGCAGCATATGGCACAAGGAAACAGAAGTGCTGGGAATTCCCAGAAAAACCTCACTCATCTGAATTAACTTCCAGTAAAAGACTGGAAATGAACTTCCAGCTTTAGCACTGCAGCAGCAGAGGGAAGACTCGGGAGAACTTTATCTACTGCCGTTTTCAGGACAGCCAAGGGCTCACTCCCAGGGAGCAGGACAGGGAGCAGGGGGGACAGGGAGGTCCCAGGGGAGGGGGTCAGTCTGTGTGCCAGCCCTCACTCACCGTGTGGAGATGGCCGGGGTCTCCAGGCAGCAAACGGTGTGGGCTCCATCCCTCCGGAAAAACCTGTGGACAGGGCACACACAGG